CCAGGCGCCAACTGCCAGGGCAGCACAGCACACTCAGCTTTGAAGGTTCCTCACTGACAAGTTTCATCTCGGACACCCCCACTGGCACCCAGATGCTCTCTGCTGTCCCTCCTTCATCTCCCTGGGGCACCTGCTGCCTCTGGCTCTGCACTGCCTCCGACACCCCCAGCACTCGGAACAGAGTTTGGCCCCACAACGAGCAGCTCTGCTCCACACAGGGAAGCACAAGCCCAGCCCCTAGAAGTTGGCAGTTTCAGCATCACCCATGGGCTCTGGGAGCAGAGAGGCTACTCCAGATCTGAGTTCCAACTTTGTGTCACCAGCAGCTCAGCAGGAAGGAGTGGGGACTAAGCGCCACACACCCTATGGGGGAAGCTTCAGCGTGAACAGGTGCGGCTCCCCTAGCCAGAGGACCCCATGGGGACCCAGGGACCCACTGCTGGAAACAAGTGCCCCTTTGGAGGAACTCTTGCCCCTTCTTTGAGTCACCTCCCTGGAGAATCACCCAAGCAGAAACCCCTAATTCTAACTCGGGGGCCCAGGACTGCCTCTAAGTGTAAGTCCAGGACAGGTTCTGACCCCAGCAACCCTGCTTCCTCTCCAGGCACAAAGAGGAGAAACCTCAACTCTACAGCCTCCCAGTACCCTGTTGAGGGTTCTTCTGATCACAGAACTCCAGATTGGGAACAACTCATCCACCTCCAGCCTGGAATCCATCATTCCCTTTGGGACCAAGAGGGGAATGCAGGACTCAGAGGAAACCTTCCTGGAGCCAGTGTCCATCATCCTCCTAGGATGGACCTGGTGTAAGTGCTAATTGTTTTCCATTTTATTTCTACAAATTTGTGGGATACATGTGCAATTTTGCAACATGCACAGATTGTGAAGTGGTATCCATGACCAGTGTAATGAACATTGAATTTATTAACCGATTCCCCATCATCCTTTCCCCCCCGCACCCCTCACACTTCCAAGTCTTCTTATCTATCGTCCCACTGTCTCCATCCATGTGAAATTTCTCAAGGAACTCACAGAGTTTGAGAGACATCAATTGAGTACATAGACTCAATGGCACGCAGGGGAAAGGTAAAATACACGGTTGATAAAAGAACAACTTCTATGGTTTGGCAATGTTACCTACTGAGAGACAATGAATCTTTAAAAATCAGTTTGTACAATGTGATGTTTATGACTGTGTCAAACAATCATTACAGCAGGATCTAGAAGCATCTGGTGACCCTGAAATAGCGGAAATACGTTGACCTAGCGTGTCACAGGCGTGGGACTTCAGATCCCGCTGTAGTTCATAAGCATGATGATTGGGTGTTCACGGGCAGGTGGGGCAAGTGCCTTCCCAGAAGCTTGTTACAAACTCAGCACATTACTGGCCTAACAATAAAGAATGGAAGGAATTTTTATTCTAAAATTCTCACGTTGTGTGTCCATGCTATCAGCTATATGATGGGGCAGGTCCCTTTTCTTCTGTAACTTGTTTTTAGAAACAGAATATAACCACGTGGAGGGAGTGATCCTGTTTTTGAAACAAGAGGTGAGAAATCACGCCCTTGTACATAACAACCACATTGAAATGGGAGCCATGGGAACCCAGAGTGAGGCGGTCATTCACTTGAAAACTTCATGATGACCTGTCCCCACCATGGCCATGTGCTAATGAGCGTCTTCCTTCCATTTCAGCTGTCACGCTGGGAGTGGAAGAGTTCGCGTCAGCAGTTTGCAATCTGAGAGACTTCTACTTAGCATCCTCCAAGATGGGAAATCTGAAATTCTGTGGACAGACAGGTTCCTCCAAGAGGAGAGGGACTCTCCCCCAACCCTATGGGCCTAGGCAGGCATGAGGAGTTTGTAAAAACTGAGACTTGGTGAGGAAGGATGTGAGCAGGAAGGTGCCCGCTCTGTGCAGGGGCAGCCACTGCCCCTTCTTAGGCAGGCCTGAGTTCACCCTGATCACATTGCTTTGGAAAGTATGGTCAGTGAGACAGTGGGGGTCACTCTCTCCACTCATTCATCCACTGAAGCACCTGCCAGATGCCCCCATCCCCAGTTCATTCCATTCATGTTCATCCAGGCTGTGTCAGTTGAAGGGAAGTTCATCCCTGGCCTAGCCATCCTGTGGCCATTAGTTTGAATATCCTGAGTCCTGTGCCAGCTTGGGAGCCAGGCTGTCCATGGGCACTTGGAGTAGGAGTACACAGGCCAGGAAGGCTCAGCACGAGGACACCCACAGTGTGAAGATGCTGAGGGAGAAGCTCACACCATTGAACTTGACCTTTACAGAGCCTTGGTTAGGAGGAAACTCTCATGCTATGGGTCAGGGATGAAAACCTGGAGGAAGGAGGCTGTGCTAGGATTTGAGGCTCTCTGGGATCAACCACATCTTCCAAGATGTTATAGTTGTGAGCCATGTGCACCCGGCCAGAAAAGTTCCTTAAGAGGGAAAGGATCACCCCACGTAAAGAACGAAGTGAGTCTCTATCTTTCACTTTCCTGAAGCCATGCAAGCTCCCTGTCTGCGTTCGACCTCTGCCAAGAGTCTGGCTTGCTCTTTGGGACATTTAATGAGTGAATACTTTAGCGCACTTAGAAGGAACTAGTCTACATAAGGCTTTACCTGAATACAATCATTTTGAGCCTTAAAGCATAACAGAGAACATGCTAACTTTTAAACCTCTCAGAACTAGGCACCGAGGCTTAGAGAGGTCTTTAGAACATGCCCAGGTACCTAGGGCTCCTCAGTAGGATTTGAACCCAGCCGGGGAGGCTCCAGGCGCTGTGCTCTTGCTCACTAGGATATGCTGCCTCTCTTTACGGCCTCATATAAAAGCACATGTTTGCCCACACCTCGGTCTGTTGGGCTCTAAGTGCAACCCGAACTTCAAGCTCTTCCTAGAGCCCAACTCAGGTTCAGGTGCTTCCCGTGGAGTTGCTTAAACAGTGTTCCAAAGTTTGAACTGTGAATAAACTAGTAAGAATTCCCCTAGGAATTCTGCCAGCCAGACATCACCAGTGGTCTTTCTCGTAATACACTTGAAAGTATGTTGCATCCAGGATCTGACAGTGGTACCTGAAAACTCAGCACAGGGAATTCTACTGCTGGACCAATGCAGTGGGTCAGAAAAATCTACAAGCAGCGCCACCACCAAGTTCATTCAGCAAAGCAATAAGTTGAAGGGACTATGGAAAGTCAGTGGAGTTCTTTCAGTCATCATGATTATACTTCGATCAGTGTGTCCCATTTGCAAGACAGAACTGTCCTATTTACTGTCTCTATACTTTTCTTTCTCAAAATTTGATACACTTGGAATCATGGAGAAGACAGCTTCTTCAGACTGACTATCTCACTGAGCAATACACATGGACTGCCAGCACCTGACTCTGAGTCACCCCCATGGACACCACTCCCCCTTTGCCGTGTTTCCTTACAAGGCCTCATGTTGGCTCCAGTGGGATCCTCTTTCCATCTGCCCAGGCCCTTCAGTTGTACCCCATGGGCAGCAAGGCCTCCACCAGGGACACCATGAGCCTCCTGCACTGAGGTCTTGCAGCTCCACCCCAACTTTACCATTTCGCAGTAACCCTTCAGCCACCACCCAGCCAGGACTGGGAGTCCCTGATGGACAGCAGCTTGCAGCCCCACCTCTGACCGCTGTTTCCGGTTTGAAGATCTGGTAGTTCAGCTCCAGCTCCAGCTCCAGCTACAACCTCCACTCCAGGCCACACCTGCCAGGGCAGCCCAACACACCCAGCTGTGCAGATTCATCATCCACAAATTCCATCTTCATCACCCACACTGGCACCCAGATGGTCTTTGCTGTCCCTCCATCTCCCGGGGGCACCCACTGCCTCTGGCTCTACAGCTGCCTGTGACACTCCCAACACTGGGAACGGGGTTTGGCCCCACAATGATCAGCTCTGCTCCACATTGGACAGCACAAGCCCAGCACCCTGAGGATGGTAGTTTCACCAGGGGCTCTGGGAGCAGAGAGGCGACCACAGATCTGAGTTCCAACTTTGTGTCACTCGACAGCACAGCAGAAAGGAAAGAGGCCAGAGAACCACACATGCTATGGGGGAAGCTTCAGCATGAACAGGTGGGCTCCCCTAGCCGGAGGACCCCATGGTGACCCAGGGACCCAGTGCTGGAAACACGTATCTCTTTAGAGGCACTGTTACCCCTCCTTTGGGTTACATCCCTGGTGAATCACTGAAGCAGAAACCTGTCAATCTACCTGGGGGGCCCAGGACCACTGAAAGAAAGGCTGCCTCTAGGTACAAGTCGATGCCAGGTTCTGACCCTGTTTCTCTCTGGGCACAGAGAGAGGAAGCCTCAACTCTATGGCCTCCCAGTACCCTGTTGAGGGTTCTGCTGGTCACAGAACTCCAGGGCCATCTGCCAGCTCATCCTCCTCCAGATTGGGATGCATTCACTTTGGTCTTAAGAGGGGATTGTAGGACTCGGAGGAAACCTTCCTGGAGCCAGTGTCCATCATCCTTCCAGGATGGACCTTGTGTGAGTGCCATTTATTTCCTTTTTATTTGTACAAATGTATGGGATACATGTGCAATTTTGTTGCAATCAGATTGTGCAGTGGTTAAGTCAGAACATTTAGGGAAACCATCACCTGAGTAATGAACACTGAATTTCTTCACCAACTCGCCATCATCCTTCCCCTCCCACCCCCTCACTTTTCTGAGTTGCCCTTATAGATCATCCATGTGAAATTGCTCAGTGAAGTCACAAAGACAAAGACATATCTAAGTGTGAAGTCTTAGTAGCATGTACACAAAAGGTAATAAGAGAAACATTTGTATAGTTTGACAATGTTTCTCAGTGAGGGACACTGACTCTCTTAAATTATATTTCCACCATGTGTTTTAATTCAGCAAGAAATTGTGAAAGTAGCACACCTAGAAGTGTCTAGTGACTCAGGAAGAGCAGAAATGCATGAGCTTGGCTTTTCCAATGAAGATTGGAATGTCAGATCCTTCTGTAGTTCCTCTCCGTGATGATTGCATGTTGACGGGCAGGGGTGAGATGTGCCTTCTCCAAGTGTTCTTTACGACATCAATACACTTCCCATCTAACAATAAAAAATAGAAGAAACTTCCTATTCTCAAATGCTCACTTTGTGTGTCCACACTCTCAACTACATAGATGGCGCCGGTCCCTTTACTCCTCTAACTTTTTTTAACAGAATATCATAATGTGGAGGAAGTGATTTTGTTTTGAAACAAAACAGGTGCTCAGAAATCACACCCTTGTACATGCAAAAATAGACACGTCTGGACAGCAATGATGCAAACCTGGAGTGAGGCTGTGTTGTGTATTTGATAATCCCATGGTGACCTGTCACCAAGGCCGTGTGCTGATTGGCATATTGCCTTTTATTCCTCCCGTCACCCTGCGAGTGGAAGAGTTCACATTAGCAGTTGGCAATTTGAGAGAGCTGAACATAGCGTCCTCCACGATTTCCCATCTTGGAGAAATGGGAAAGATGGAAAATGTTGGAGGCCCTCTCCGGGTGTGCATTGTTTGGGTTGTCCTCAGATGACAGCACTTCCTCCACTCTCTTTGCAAATAGGGAACATCTGCTTCCCAATTCCATCACTGGTTCCAACTAGGGCACCCATTTTAATACTATTCCCACGCTCGCCTGAGACACAGGTGTACTGTGATTCCCAAAGCTGGCCAAATATGGCGCTTCAGCCCATGACCCACAAACACAGAACCAAAGTCCGATTGATTAGGGAATCCTTCCCCTACACATGGAATGGATGAGGAAGATTTCTCCTTAAGGTTGACAAAACTGTAAAACTATGATCTTGAAACATAGATATAATGGGTTTTTCCTCCACAATATGGAGAGAGATTTCCCCAACCCTGCAGGGTCTAGGCAGGCATGAGGAGTTTGTAGAAACTGAGACTTGGTGAGGAAGGATGTGAGCAGGAAGGTGCCCGCTCTGTGCAGGGGCAGCCCCTGCCCTTTCTTAGGCAGGCCTGAGTTCACCCTGACCACACTGCTTTGGAAAGTGTAGTCAGTGAGACAGTGGGGGTCACTCTCTCCACTCATTCATCCACTGAAGCACCTGCCAGATGCCCCCATCCCCAGTTCATTCCATTCATGTTCATCCAGGCTGTGTCAGTGGAAGGGAAGTTCATTCCTGGCCTAGCCATCCTGTGGCCGTTGGTTTGACTATCTTGCGTCCTGAGCCAGCTTAGGAGGCAGGCTGCCCATGGGCACTTGGAGTAGTCAACTGGCCAGGAAGACTCAGCATGAGGCCGCCCACAGTGTGAAGATGCTGGGGGAGGAGCGCACACCATTGAGCTTGACCTTCACTGAGGCTGGGTTAGGAGGAAACTGTCATATGTTGGGTCAGGGATGAAAACCTAGAGGAGGGAGGCTGTGATACAATTTGAGGTTCTCTGTGATCAGCCACATCTTCCAAGATGTTACAGGTTTGAGCCACATACAAGCTGCCCAGGTAAGTGCCAAAAGCAGGAAAGGATCACCCCACGTAAAGAATGAAGTGAGTCTCTATCTTTCACTTTCCTGAAGCCATGCAAGCTCCCTGTCTGCGTCCGACCTCTGCCAAGAGTCTGGCTTGTTCTGTGGGACATTTAATGAGTGAATACTTTAGCGTGCTGAGAAGGAACCAGTCTACATAAGGCTTTACCTGAACACAATCATTTTGAGCCTTAAAGCATAACAAAGACCCTATTCATGTTTGACCCTCTCAGAACTGGGCACACCAAGGCATAGAGAGGTCTATAGAACATGCCGGTACCTAGAGCTCCTCAGTAGGATTTGAACCCAGCAGGGGAGGCTCCAGGCGCTGTGCTCTTGCTCACTAGGATATGCTAGCTCTCTCTATGACCTCATAGAAGAGCACATGTTTGCCCACACATCAGGCTGTTGGGCTCTAAGTGCAACCCAAACTTCAAGCTCTTCCCAGAGCCCAACTCAGGTTCAGGTGCTTCCCGTGGAGTTGCTCAAACAGTTTTTCAAAGTTTGAACCGTGAATAAACTAGGAAGAATTCCCCTACGGAATTCTGCCAGCCAGACATCACCAGTGCTCTTTCTTGTAATGCACTTGAAAGCACGTTGCATCCAGGATCTGACAGTGGTACCTGAAAACTCAGCACAGGGAATTCTATTGCTGGACCAACGGAGTGGGTCAGAAAAGTCCACAGCTGGCCACAGCATTCTGTGCAGCTGGAAAATTCATCAGTGGAAGGTACTGTGGAAAACCAGTTCAGCTCATTCAGTCATCATGATTCTGGTTGGTTCAGCGTCTCATATTTAAGGCAAAACTCTAACACTGTTATGCTGTGGTCTTCTTTGAGTTCATCTGTGCAATTTGAAATTATCAAGGGAATCGTGAGTCTTACAACTAGAGTAGAAGGATAAAGCTGGGACAGTTTGCACAGAAAGCCCCATCTCAATCTAACGCTCCCCATGCAGGCGAGTGTGAAACATCGTCTGAGATGAGCTCTTCTCTGGGCTCAGCCACGCCTTGCAAGATGCCAAGAGAATCAAAAGGCTTCAAGTGCGAATCAATCGGTATGAACCTCTGTATAAATCCTGCCAACAGGATGTCAGCAGCTGTCTCTATCGTCATACATTTGGGAGGTGTGGCCACCAGGATCTGACAGTAGTTCCCGAGGAGTCGGCACCGTCTATCCTGGCCTCATGCAGTGGGTCAGAAAAACCCACAACCGGCCACACAGCTGAGGTCCTCCCAGAACACCATCCATTGAAGGTCCTGTGGGAAGTCAGTGAAGTTCATTCAATCGTCACGATTCTAGTGGGTTCAGTGCCCCGTATTGAAGTCAGAACTCTAACACCGTTATGCTTTAGTCTTCTTTCAGTTCATCTGCGTGCATTTAAATGGAAGTCATTGCTATTCCTACAACTAGAGAAGTGACGATGTTTTTACAGTGTAAAGGTAGGTACCCTTTAACGAGAAAGCAACATCTCAATCTAATGCTTACAGCAGATAAACCTCTTCCTGAAACAATGTTGCCGTCCCTGACAAAATTAGTCACTGTGTAGAACACTTTGAAATTAACATAAAACTGGAAGAGACAGTACAGAAAGCTCTCAGACCCTTTGTCCACACTTCTTTTCTGAACCCCTTTTTTCAGCGGTGTAGTTCACAGGTAACAGCAATTACACCAGTATTGCTACATTCCTACCAACTGACGTCAGGAGCCTGCTTTGAGGCTCAGCGTGTTGTACCATCTATGGGTTGTGACAAACTCTGAATGCCTCTCACTCCCCAGACGAAGGAGCTGCACGTCCCAACCTCTCCCTGTGCTTCCCCTGCCAATCCCCTTACCCGTCTCCGGATGCCCTGGCAACAACGGTCCTGTTCACTGTCTCTACAGTTTCCTTTTCCAGAACTGTCTATGCCTGGAATCATAGAGCAGGCAGCTTTTTTAGAGGGTCTTATCCCACTCAGCGATATTTATTCACGGCCAGCGTCTGACTTTGAGGTCACCCCGTGGTGGCTACCCTCTCTTCCCAGCCTTTCTTGGCAAGGCCTCATGTTGGCTTCAGTGGGAACTTCTTTTCATCTGCCCAGGCCCTTCTAACACCCACCAGTGTCAGCAAGGCCAGGACCAGGGACAGCAGCAGCCTCCTGCCTTGGGTTCCTGGGACCGCACCCCCTCCCCACTGAAATTTCCCAGGAATCTGTAGCCACCTCCCAGCCAGTTCTGATAGGAATCTGAGAAAGGAGGATGCTCCATGGAAAGAGTCATGGAAACTTCACTCCAACCTTCTGTACTAGAGTGTCATGATTCACTGGAGAGAAGGTACCCAAGAATGTGGAAAGCCTGACTCCCTTCACCGCCTCTGCCAGCCACGGCTTCTGCATGGTGGGCAAGATGTGCTCTGTAAAATGAGAAAAGGGGCATCTTCAGGGACTGAGCATCAGGCAAGCACGTGGCCCTCTTCCTAGGAGGAAGACACGATAGGTCGTGCATTGCAAGGCTGGGAAAGATTTATTCAGTGTCATGACCAAAAGAAACTTCACCCAATTCCCCGCCTAACCTCGTGGGTGATACAGGTTTCTGCTGCCTTTCGAGGTCCTTTGGAAGAAAACAGGATTCTTGCTTAAGAAAATGTAGATGAGAAATGAGGCATATGACGGGTTGCGGAACATGTGGATTATAAACACCACGTGAAATGCTTTCGATTTCATAGAATTCCGTGACCCTGCAATTGAGCTCTTCATATTGTTTTTCCACAAAACAAAAAGATGAGACTCACCATTAGAAAAGAGTCACTTTTTCTCCAGAAACAGGCTTCTCATAAGAAGATTGCCCTGGACGTTTCTCACTCTCTAGAACACAGCGGCCCAGTGGTGCTTGAGAGAAAACCCAGGGTGAGGAATTCAATGCTAAAAGGAGCGACTACAAGACCAAGGGCTGAGGAACCCAGAGGCGGCCGCTCAGTGGACTCACGGGAGAAGGCAGGGCTGGGGCCCCAGGCTGGACCTTGAGAGGGAGAAGATATAGAGGGGGAGAAGGAAGTCCCAAGAGCACCCGGGCGCGGAGAGAACGAGGATGGGGGAGGATGGCTTCCAGGGTTTTAATGTCAGGAGGCTCATTATGTCATCATCCCCAGAGTCCAGCGATTTTCCTGCTCCTTCTGAGTGGGAAAGAGCAGGGCGGACTGTCCTGGCTGCAGTGAGCCCCGCATGGACACCTCTGCCTTTTCTCAAGAGACGGGTTCCTTCCTGATGAATCTCTGAGACAGGAGCTGAGGACTGGGGTCTTCATCAGGTTGTGACAACGCAGACCTTTCCCATCCTGGAAGCTGGCCACAGACAGAGCAGGAATCCCATTTCCGATATTCTGAGCCAGACTGGCGGGGGACATAGTTCAGCAGGGATAGACTCAAGGTGAGGCCTGACACAGAGAGGCGCCCAGGCCTGATCCTTGTGGGGCTGGGCAGAAACCAGTTTCCATCTTCCACGTGCTTCTGGAAGTTTCCTGTCAAGCGTGCTTCTGTAGACGGCACTAGCCAAAGGTGGCCTGGCTCAGAAATGTGTTGAAACTGAAGGTAGTGTGGCCCCCGGCCAGGGAAGCTGCCCGGCAAAAGTGAGGGCACCAGCTCCGGTCCCAGGCGAGCTCAGCAAAGTCCGGGAGGCCGATCCCTGAGCCAGCCTTCCTTGCTCCTCCGTTTCACGGCACAGAGGACATGGGTTTGAGAGTTTCTCCAAAAGGATCTCGGAGTTCTCAGGCCCAAACTCTGAGTCCTCCCCCTCCTGGGGAGCCGCATTCTGGCCACAGCTTTTCAGTGCAAGGGCAGGAACTGTGACCTCGGCATCCCCTCTCCTCACAGCCCTCAGCCCTGGGCAGCCTGTCTTAGGCCCCATGAGGCTCTCATGAACGCAGCCCTGGGCTGGGCTCTAGCTCCAGTGGGCAAAAGTTCCCTCCTCACCCTGTCCCACCTGTTGGACCCTCCCACTGGGCGAGGTGTCTTCCCAGAGTTCCAATCAAGTCAGGGGTGGTGAGGGGGGGCTCCTGCAGACAGAGCTCTCCCTGTTCGTGGGCTCCCTCTGCTCTGATCCTGTCTAGACAGAGTCGGTTTCATCCTTCTGAGTGCAAGCGCACCGCCTACACCACGGGGTCCCTCTGGGCCAAGGCACTGTCCTCACTGTTAAGTCCCCACAACTCACAGTGTCTGGTCCTTCTGCAGGTCCTAACCATATGCGATTTCCTTTCAAAAGCCCTCAGAAATCACACACGAATGATTGCATCAGAGCATCCAACAACTCTGCAAGGAAACACGCAGGAAGGGAGTCACGTCTTCCTCATCTGTGTATCTCTAGAGCTGCACCATCCAGCATGGGAGTCCCGGCCTGGCGGTGCTGTGTATAACCAGTTCATTCGTGAGGGCAGTTCATCCAAATAGAATGAGACATTCCACTCCCCAGTCACACTGGCCACATTTCCCGTGCCCCACAGACTTGGTGCCACCTGCCACCACATTCAAGACAGAGCAAGATAATTTGCATCCACAAAACACACCGTTGGGACTCTGCTCAGAGCATGGCACGGGGACTGTGCATTGAACTCATCTAACTACGAAACCCGTGCATCAGAGCTGGAATTTCAGGTGAATGAGAATGGAAATGAGAGCTCTAATGACCTAGTGGAAACGGGGAAGTGGGAAGACGAAGGGGTCCCCTCTCCTGAGGTTTGCATGTGTCAACAGCGTCTTGTTGGAGATTCCAGACTCCACAGAAGCAAAGGAGGGTTGAACAGCCCAAGAGACAGCAGGGCAGTCCTGGGCGGTCCAGGGCGGCTGGAGGAGGAGGATGGATGAGCCTTTCTCTGGAGTCTTTTTCTTCTCACTTTCTTTTCTCTAGAGACTTCATGGTCAACAGAAGACATGACACAAGCAGTGAAGAAGGTGACACTCCGGGTTTGGAACAACCCAAGGGGGGACCCGATAGAAGAGGGTGCCTGCAGCAGTCGGGGTCGGCCTGCGGCTTCAGAGACGAAGCAAGTGGGACATGAAATCAGAAAGAGAAAGGAGGTGTGTGTGGAAGGCGGCTTTGTCCTTGTCTCTCCTGACCCAGCAGGGAGAGGTTGGATCCTCTGGTCTTTGAGTGTGCAGTGTCTGTGATCATTTTTTCCCTCTGCGGTATTTAAAACAATCTTTCCCAGCAAACCACTTCTTCCCTGCCTTTGCCTCAGCCAATCTTCAAAGCCTTTGGTGATGTGTGCAGCACCTCTTGGGAAATGTACACAGCAGATTTTGTCCCAGGTTTTGGGCAGCGACCAGCAGGGGATGCAAACCGGGTGCCCAACTCTCTCGCAGGCACCACGGGATCCGGGAACCAAACCTCCTCTAGCCAGTGCAGGTGGGGTGAGAAGCCGGCCCTCCCCCTCCTTGCTTTCAGGACCCTGGCCGCTGCTTCCTGGTCTGCCTCACTGTCTGTTCCTGGTGGAAAGGCTGTTTGTTCCCTGGGCTGGACGAGGTAAGGAATCCTCCTCTGGGATCACCGCAAATGTCCTGCATCCTGGAGACGCAACAGGAAACACAGCCCTCAGCACGTTTCAGTCCCCAGGTGTCACCCAAATGCCACATCCTGGGATGAGGAACAAAAGCTGAATTTACTTTGATTTGAGAGGCCCCAGTCCAGCTGCCCCTGGAGACCTTCTCCATTTGAGAGGATGTGTGAAGGGAGCTGGGCTTCCTGCCCATGCTGAGTATCACAGTCTCAGTGACTTCATCCCTGGAATCCTCCAGGCCCGGGACAGAGTCCCTGGCAGCAGGGAAAGGGCTCTCTGCACTCTCACGCCCACTGCCCTGACCAGACAGCACTGCCCTGCTGCCCACACTCCAGCCTCTTCTCTGTCTTCTGCCCTGCCGGGCACCAGGTTCCCACCCCATTCTCCCACCCGCAGCTTGGTGCAAACCCTGACCCGTCCCCTCTCTGTATGTAGCCAGATCCTGCCTGTTATCGAGTCCCTGGCTGCCTCACTTGCAGACTAAGGTTATTTCCACAAGTTACATGACCTCAAACTCATGTTTATCCTCTCATGGGCTCTGGAACTGCCATGAAGATCCAATGTCTCTGAAGGCCCCCAAAGTTATACCAAAAGTAGAAACCTCACTTGGCATAGTGAGTCTGATGTAATCCTCTCCCATAGGACCCCACATAACTGCAGGATGGCGGGAGGGGAGCCCTGGGCTGCTCAGTTCGGTCAACTGATCAATTAATTGGAGGTGGTGGCAGTATGCCCACGGTGACTGCATCAGGGGTTGGAGGACGATAGGAATGGTGGAAGGTGAGGAGGGGACAGGAAATGGGTGTTATCATGGAGAATGAAACAGGCCCTAAAGTGGGGAGGGCAGAGGGAAGTCCATGTGATGCACAGAACGTTACGGAGATGGTGGCCAACTCTCGGAGACACAGGATGGCCCAGGCGACCCTTCCTGGTCACAGTTATGGAATGTGGTGACTGGAAAAGTGTTGGAGATGGGGACCAAGAGCCTCCTGGGGCTGGGCTCCATCATCCCAGGAGCAGCAGGAACCTGGTTCCCACCTGCACTCTAACTTCCTCCTTTCTTTCCCAAGGCCACCCCGTTGCGCTTCCTGCCGGAGGACATGCAGCCGGGAATGTGGCAAATTGCAAGGAATCTGAGAGTGGAGGCAGCGGCATGCCTGTCATTCAGTTCCTGTCTCATCTTCCTTTCACCCTCCCTTTCCTTTCCATCCCCCTTTTCTTTGTCAGGAGCTTCTCTTTGGAGCCCCGCGCCATTCCCTCTTGCATATTTTAGGCCCATCCTCCTGAAGGACCTGGTCCCACCCAGGCAGCTGAGGTCCTGGGTCTGCACTGGGGATGAAGCCCCAGCCCTCCTTTCACTGCCTTGGCCCTGTCCTGGGTGCTGACCCCAGGCTGCAGCACTGACTCCTGCTGAGCAGCCCCAAGGGCTCCAGGCAGGGAGCTGGGCTGGGGGAGGAAGGAAAGTCTGGGTCTGTCCTGGACACCCCCTCACAGGGCGTTTTCTGCCCTGGGGGCTCTGGACATGCGCAGTTCTTCTCTTCCAGAAGTCAGGACAGTGTTCCATTCTCCCTGCAGGAGAGGACACAGAGGACACAAAGGTGGAAGAAAAGAGAGGGAGTGAGCATGGAGGGGCCGCACGAAGAGGGGCCGGCAGGACGTGCACACGGCCCAATGCTCCTCGCACTTTCTTACTGCCCTGACCGCTAAATCAGTGCAGTCCATCCCAGAAAACACTGGAGCAGCTTCTCTTAAGGGGAACTCAACAGCCGCAGAGGAGAGAATCCTTTTCAACAATCCACACACCAGATTCCCAAAGGCTACCCAGTTGAACATCTACATTAATTCGCTTCCGCAAGACATTTAGGGAGACAGACTCATAGGACAGAGCCTCACAAGGAATTCGCTTCCCTGTAACTGATAAACGCTTAAGAGCAGTGAAGGTGAGTTAACCGTGGACGAGGCCTGTGGACAGGCAGCACCCACAGCAGAGAGCAGCAACCAGGCCTCAGTGCCCTGTGGACCTGAGCCGGGGGTCGTCAGGCCATGTCACCTTCCAGGGCCTGAGGGGCTTCTTTCTGGGTCCTGCTCACCCAGACCAGCGAGCCCTCCTCCTCTCTCCCTGTGCCTTCCAGTGACCCTGCGCCCGGGTCTGTGTGGCAGATCCTGTCCCGACACCCAGGCAGGCCCTGATGTGCAGACCCCCCCATGCCCAGAGAAGACCTGCAGCACGACAGGTTTCAGGGAGACGGAGACAGACAGGAGGCCTCCTCGCCTCATTTAGCGGCGGTTAATTTTTCAATATCACAGATATGGGATTGTGTTTAGAAGTTTTTTTTTAACTGTTTATTTTTAATGCAAGTGGCTTTCCTTACAATTAGTCATATTTTATAAATATTTTCTGTATAAAAATAGATAAATCTGTGAAAACAGCTTAAACAGAGAGGCCTTGATGAGCTCCTCTGAGCTCTATGCTTCGTGCTGCGGTCATGTTTCCGACTGTGGAGCCCAGTGCTCCTGAGAAGTTTCTCTCAGCTTCCTGGCCCTGCCCTCAGACTTTCTAATGGAAAGTGCCCAGAGCCTCTGTGGGATTCCCCAGGCTCTCCCGCTCTACCCCGCACCTTCCGAGGGTAATTCCCCACTCCTTCTGTGCTAATTAAGTGTAGTCTTGTGCTCTGAACATACGCGGAGTCACTGGTTTCTTTCTGCAAACCTGGCGTTGGGTGTGATTCTCCTCCCCATGCACAGCAGGCTGCCAGGGTGCTGGGGACGTTGTGTATGTTGAACTGGGGGTTGGGGAGACACGTGGCTCTAAAGAATGAGCAACCAGGCTGTAGCTTCCCATTTGTGCACCACACCATAGGCAGAATAAGCACCCATTTCACAACGAAATAGAGCAGAAAAAGCCTCTTTTGACACAAAGGCAACTACCGGCACAAGTTAATTTCCTCTAATTTCTACCAAATGTTTAAGGTGGAAACAATGCCAGTCTCCTACATGCTCTTCCAGAGATGAGATGTGGGGACTCATCCAGCTGCCTCATCAGATCAGGAGACACTAGACCCCACCCTAGAAACAGACACTGCAGGGAAGGGGAACGTCAGGCCAAAGGCTCTGGAGAGGATGTGTCCGAATGTGACGGCAATCTTCAGCAGTCTCGATTCTGAGATGCTTGGAAGGAAAGTAAGTGAACTCTCCTGCCGAGGTTTGCATGGGGCTGAGGAGGACAGGACCGCTGGCCGTTTTGCTGCCGCCTGGAGAGTGGTGAGATAGGAGATGCCATCGGGCTCGTGGAATACACATTTGGCAACAGAGTGACGGAGGCCCTGGGTGGTCCTCACAGAGGATCCTGGGGTGGGGTCTTCAGGCTGTAGCGATGAACAGAGCCCTCTAAGAGGAGATGCAGTCTGCCCTGACACGGCAGGGTCTAGGGAGGGAGAAGATTGTGGAGACTGAGTCTTGGTGAAGAGGGACTCGGGCAGGGAGGCGCCTACTGTGTGCTGGAGGAGACACTGCCTCTTTTCAGCCAGGCCTGAGTCTGGGCTGCTGAGACACATGCTCAGATCTCCAGTCCATGAATGAGAGGAAAGCAGGTGCTGGGAGGCTTCACTCACTGAGCCACCGGAGCAGCAGCCCAGGGGCCTCCTCCCAGGTATTCACCTTCACTGGTCATAAGAGTTTGTCAGTTACAGTGAAGCTAATTCTTTGAGAGGTTCTGGTCCCATGGGTGTGGCTGGCTCGGGAATCCTGAGCTCTGAGCCAGTGAGGGGTCAAGCAGGCCACTAATCATTCAGGGTGGTCGCCGGAGCACCGGAAACCTCACCTTGAGGCGGCTCCTGGTGTGAAGGTGCTGGGGCAGGAGGGGCGTGGTTTGGACCCTGATCCTTCTCTTTGTTTGAGGTCACCTTGGTCAGATTTTCGGTCAAGGATTAAAACAGAAGCAGGAGCCTGGGTCAGGGACCACCCACGAGAGGAGCTCTCCTCAAAGCATTCCTGGAACACGAGGATTTGGGATATGGGTGAGGGAAGACCTGGTTCCGGCGCCCAGGGCGTGATCGAGAGGCCTCTGGGCTTCAGGGATCTCCTTCTCCAGGGACCTAACTACATCCCTGGCTCTGCCACAGCCCTCCTCAGTATTGTGACTCTGGGGAAGTCACTTAGGCTTCTCAGTTTTAGTGTCCTCAGCTGTAAACTGTGGGTCCCAGCCCTGCTCTGCCCACTTCACGGGGCCCCTGTGAGGGTCAGAGGGATGGCGGCAGCTGCTCTCGAGGAGCTGGAAGGCATCTTGCCCATGTAAAGCCTGGAAAGTGACTCATGACTCTGGTGGCATCTCTGCAGGAACCACTGCTGCTTGTCTCTCATTCCCCAGACATTTCGGATCTGAGCATGACTACAGCCCTAATGAAGTGGCAGTTATTTGGATTCTGGCTTCATCTGGGTCTGCCTCTAGGTCGCATCTGAGCTCAGGCCATCAGGCACCTGCCCCTTGCTCTCGGTCAGTGAGCTCAGCTGCCTTCTGAATTGTCTCATTAGAGGAAAGTTCCCAGGATCAGCCCGGTGTTGATATAAAGAGCTCACAGCACCCCAGCACCTGTCCTCCTAAGCCCAGCTATGACTCGGTGGCTCCCCTAGGCAGCTGCTGGGCACGAGTGTCACCTGGGAAAGATGAACACCTGCCCGTGGTCGCCTGCCCGCACCGTCTCCACAGGGGGCGCTACTTTCAATGTATTTTTCCCAAGCTCATGGCTTGTGGCTACAACAAGAAGACATCACGAAAGATTCAAATTTAGAATACACCAGAAAGGTGATCCGGGCTCAACAAAACCTCCTGGCCATTCCCAGAGCATCCCATTCGGCATCTGGCAACAGCATGGAGCCTCGGACGTCACCCTTGCCAGCTCCTCCACTAAGGGCGTCATGGACCTGAAGCCATTAGGAGATTGGGGTCTTTATTGTGGTTTGCGCAGCCGGGCCTGAGTCTTGGTGAGGAAGGACAGGAGCAGGAAGGTGCCCAGTCAGAGCTGGGGCAGCCACTGTTTCTTCTCAGCCAGGCCTCAGTCCAGTCCGCTGGGGCAGCTGCTCTGATCAACAGGCACTGAGATCCTGGCATCTTGCAGGCTTCAGGGGCAGCTGCTCTGATCAACAGGCACTGAGATCCTGGCATCTTGCAGGCTTCAGTCCTCGAGCTGCCCAAGCATCAGCCCAGCAGGCCAAGTTTTCAATCAAAGAATCTGAACTGCCCAGGAGGCCGGTTTGGTCAATTGAAGGTGAATCTGATTTGCATTCCAACGGCTGCGTGGGCAGCTGGTGGGGGACGTCCCGCATTCCGAGTTGGTTCGGAGTCAAGGAGGCTACTGGTCATTCAGGGCAGTCACCCTACCCCACGGGAGTGTCTTCACAGGGCAGCCACAGAGTCACCGTGGGGGCAGACAGACACAAATGTGGACCCCATGCCTTCAGGAGGGCTTCATTTGGGGAACGTCATGGCATTTTGGGTCAGGGATTGAAATGTAAACCCGGGAGTTGAGTCGGGATTTGGGCCCTTCTCTTGGGCCAAGCGCCTCCTCCAGGCATCAGTGTCTCCCTGCAGCAGCTGTGGGGTTGGGGCTTTGGACGAGGAGTGAAGAGGGTCCTTGGTTCAGTGTCCAGGGCGGGATCTAACGGTCTTGATGCAGGTGAGCTCGAGAACTGGCTCTGCTCAAGAGACAAGAGGGAGCCAACAGTGAATGAAGGCATGTCTTGGTGAACAAGTGTCGCCCAAAATGGCTGCTCCACAGAGAACAGGGCTGTCCAGAGGCGTGAAGCACCAGTGGAGGGATGGCTGGCTGAATTTATACCTACTCCTAATTATATGCTAATTAAGGGGTGGGCTATTCATGACTTTCTGGAAAAGGGGCAGGAGTTCCCAAAACGGTGGAAGGTAACATCCAGGGCGTGACCTTAGCACTGGTAACATTTCATAGCCCTGGGGGGAGTGCCTCAAGGGAATGCATTAGAATTCCTAGCCCTAGCTGGTTCCCTTGGCTTCTTCACTACATCTTGTTTTGATCAGCAGGGCCTGTGTGACAGGTGCTTGGAAAGTGAGTCCTGCTCGTCTCCTGCCTGAGCCGTGGCATCCAGCAGTGCCTCTCAGTTTGGATTGGAAATATTCTTATATCTAAAATTGTGCAATACAATGTTTGAATATTTCATTTACCTGTGATTGACTGTGCTTTTTAAAGTTGTTCAATTCATCTTCACAATAAAAGAAAAAGTGATTTTGAAATCAAATGTGTATTTTGGGATATGTAGACTTTGTCAAAGAGAATTTTCAAAAGGGCTTTGACTTCATGGAGAACCAGGTTGCAAATATCCAGGGATTCCAAGATACTACATAAAGCATCTAGCGATAGAAATACTTAAAATACGGATGTGAAATTTCCCCAAGTTGCCAAATATCCCTCTGCAGCTGTGAACAAGATGTGGCTAGTTTTGTCTTTTGGTTTCCCTGAAGACAAATCCAAAGGTAGATAGCACAGAAGGGTGTGTGCGTGTACGTGTGCATATGTGTGTGTGTGTGTGTGTGTGTGTGTGTGTGTCGGGGTGGAGGAGGGAGGGCAAGGTGCGAGATTCTCATGCACCTCATGGTGTAGCCTCGTGTCATGGATGAAAGCCTGAGCCTCACAACTGCATCACTGCCGCTTTGTGTAGACCCTGCCCTGAGTGACTAAGGACCGTGCAAATCCTGCAGCTGCTGCATTGAGCACAGGTTGCTGACTGAGAAAAATCTCCAGGGCTCTGCTTGTCTTCATAAACGTGCCTTTTCTAGACATCTCACATAAATGGCATCGTGTAATACACCGTCTTGGAGCCCTTCCTTCACTTAGCATAATGTGCGAGATTCCCTCATCACCTAGCGTGCATCTGGAGGGATTGTCTTTTCTCCTTTTGATTGCTGAGTAGTTCTCCACAGCATAGATGCACCACATTTTGTTTACCCATTCACCAGCTGATGGACACTTGAGTTGTTTCTGTTTGTTGGCTATTATGAATAATCGTTCTGAGATTTATGAACAAGTCTTTTGTGAACATATGTTTTTATTTCTTCTGGGAGAATTTCCAGGGGTACAATTGCTAGAGTCAATAAAAAGTTTATGTTCCACTTTGTAAACAGCTGGTGAAATGATTGACATACTTAGTATTATTCCCAACGAGAACGAGGACACACCCAAGACAAGCCGGATCACCTCCTCAGTCCTCATCTAGGAGAGGAGAAGAAAGCAGCGAAAGTGTTCACGTACAGGTTTTGTGAGAAGCCGAGTTTTGGGTTTCCTCGGTAAAATAGCCCAGGGGTGGGAGTGCAGGGTCACAGGGTGCCTGCCTGCCCTGACTGCCACCCCAGCAGAACCTGAGTAGTCCCTGCACTTCTGTTAGCCACACTCTCCTCCGGGGTTCCCAGGGTAAGGGCAAAAGGACAGACAAGCACGGATCCCAAAGCTGTCACCTCCTGCCCCAGCTGCCAGGTCACGAACACTGCTCCCCAGCAGCTCACCCTCTGTGTGCTGGGTCCCCATCCTAGACATGTCCTGACTTTCCAGAGGTTGACATGGGAAAACAGGGGCCACTGCTCTGCCAATAAGTGTGTCTCCCTGGAGCCCAGCACCCTAAACCATCAACAAGAGATGAGAACCTCTAGGCATCCAGGGCTGGGATCCCCAGCATTTGGTCTCCCCTGTTCCTCCCGGGTCATTGGCGTTGGTGCGTCTTCCTCCAGCATCCTTTGCCCCTGGAGGTTGCCAGCAGGTGCCTGCCCGAGCCAGTTCCTTGCAAATGTGTAAGGCATGCCCATTCATCCATCAGAGGTCAAAGATGCACGACCGGGAAAACGCAGGAAACAGCGCATGCTTCACCTATAGCCCAGTTGGCAGCTAGACGCTCAGAGCCCAGCTCTCTAGTTCAAGGATGAAGGCTCACCCCACTGCTCCTAGGGGAAGCTACCTGAAAAAGCTTTGCCCTTTGCCCCTACCTGCTGCCCTGGGGGTTCAGGGCCAGCTTGGCGGGAATCAGCTACTTAGAGCCTTCTCACCGAGCCCCCCAGTTCTTATGGCTGGTGGGTGTCCCAGCTGTGCCTGCACGGGGACTGACAATACCGTGTGACTTGTACAGACATCTCAAGACCATATTCCATCATTCTGCAGACCCTGTTATCCTTCCTGCAGGTCCTGACTTCCATCTGCAAAAGTCATCACCAGAACAGGTGGAGATGTGTGTTCCCAATTCTGAGATGTCCTGCAGCTCAGCCAGTACACTGAGCAAAGTGACTCCGTGGGTCCCAGGACCAGGAAGCCACCCCTTTGGGACCCACAACATCCCAGTGTGCCCAAGAGTCCCTGCCCAGAGAGGATCCTGTTGAGGGCCCTGAGGGAGAGCAAGAACCGGACACCCGAGCAGGACAGGGACGCAGACAATCAGAGAAGGGTCCCTGCTGGCACTGGGAGTGCACAGACCCCATTTAAGCCCTTTAGGGTCAATGGAGGTCTCTCTTTGTTTCTTCAACTGCATGGCACTCTGCAGAGAAAGCTCCCTGGCTACAAGTGAGAAGTGCGATCCAACAAGACATCCCAGCCCTCCTGGATGGGCTCCTGCCCTAACCGCAATGCTAACTACAGCTCATAAGGAGCCTGGGAGGTTTCCCACTGCTAAAGAGGAGGAGAGGGCGAGTTTTACCCAGCTCCCAGCAGCCCTTGGGTCCTCAAAGCAACTGAATGTGGAGGACCCTCGGTCTCCCGCTGCAGCTTCACAACTTTCTAAGAGGAAGACTCAGAGTGAAAAGCAGTGGATACAATATCAGGGCAGAAACTGACCTCCGGGCAGGCTCCCTCCCACCCCACATTTCTGGGCTCTGTAGACTCAAGATTCCTCTGCTGTCACGCAGGGAAAGGGAGCCTTGCTCCATGCCATCACCACCTCTCCCCTGGGGTTCTGAAAACCTGGAGGAGAAGGAGGAGGAGGAGGAGGAGGAGGAGGAGGAGGAGGAGGAGGAGGAGGAGGAGGAAGAGGCCGAAATCCAGTGCATCAACAGTGCCCTTTGGGGTGAGGCCAAGGTCATCTGGGACAGCAGAGCCTCACACTCTTCCCACACTTCGCTCCTGCCTGCATCAGGGCCTGCTTCTCTGCTGCTGCCCCTCAGCCCCCAGCATGGATGCACAGCAGAAGAAACACAGGTCACAGGACTCCCTGGGCCCAGGGTCCCTCCTGGCATCTGCTGCACTGGCCACCTCTGGGAGGAAACACAGCCCACCAGGCCCCTCCTCAGGGAATCTTCTGGCCTCTTCACACTCCCTGCCCTGAGCCTCATTCACCTGGCCAACCCCTGCTCTGTCCTTTTTGTAGGCTCAGTAAGAGCTGAGCTGTTCCCTAGGCCGTCAAATCCATGCACCCCTGCTCTCTGCTGAGCTACAAGCTGAGAAGGACATGGACAGAAGCATGAGAAGCCCAGGCCCTGCCTCTCTCCTGCTCCTGCAGCTGTGCAGCCCCTCCCCATTCACACGGAAGCCCACACGAGGCCCCTCTGAACGGGGAGGACAGAGGCCCTTCCCATCCCCAGGTCTCGGCCCAGCTGTAGCAGCTGCTGGTTCTGCCTCCTGCCCCACTCTCAGCTCCACCAGAATGCAATCCCATTGCCCCACGTGTGTGCATCCTCCATCGCGTCCGCTCAGAGACCCCCTCCCCCTACTCAGCCTAGTTCCTCTCTCTCCCTTGACCTGCCAATTTCTGCATCTGCAGCTGGTTTCAGCCCCTTGGCCAGCACATCCGCAGGTTGGCTCTCCAGGCAGAGACTGACATTGAGGTCACCCCCATGGACACCAATCCCCTCCCCAGCTCTCCTTGTGGGGCCTCCTCCTAGCTCCATGACGCTAACAGCTTCGTACACACAGGTTTTAAAGCTCCATTCGAACTTTGAAATTTCACATCACGAATAGAAGTTCAGACCCTTCTGTAGTTCATAAGCGTGGCGAGTGGATTTTCACGGGCGCGTGGGACGCGCGCCTTTCCAGAACATTGTTACACATCAGCACGCTACCATCTGAGCATAAACATGGAAATGAACTTTTTACTCTCAAATGTTTACTTTCTGTGTCCACACTATCAGCTCCCCATGATGGGGAAAGTCCCTTTTGTCCTGTAACTGGTTTTTACAAACAGAATATAATCATGTGGAGGGAGTGATTCTGTTTATGAAACACAACAGGCGCCCCAAATTCACGCCCTTGTACACGAAAAATACACGTCTGGATAAGAGCCGTGGGAACCCAGACTGAGGCAGTTGCACATTTGAAAATTCCACAATGACATGTGGCCACGGCCATGCACTGATCCATGTCTGCCCTTCCATTTCAGCTGTCACCTTGAGAGCGGAAGAGTCCACCTCAGCCATTGGCAATTTGAGAGAATTTCACATGGAGTCCTCCGAGATGGGAAATCTGAAATGCTGCGGACAGACAGGTTCCTCTAAGAGGAGAGGGACTCTCCCCCAACCCTATGGGTCTAGGCAGGCATGAGGAGTTTGTAGAAACTGAGACTTGGTGAGGAAGGAAGTGAGCAGGAAGGTGCCCGCTCTGTGCAGGGGCAGCCACTGCCCCTTCTTAGGCAGGCCTGAGTTCACCCTGATCACATTGCTTTGGAAAGTATGGTCAGTGAGACAGTGGGGGTCACTCTCTCCACTCATTCATCCACTGAAGCACCTGCCAGATGCCCCCATCCCCAGTTCATTCCATTCATGTTCATCCAGGCTGTGTCAGTGGAAGAGAAGTTCATTCCTGGCCTAGCCATCCTGTGGCCGTTGGTTTGACTATCTTGCGTCCTGAGCCAGCTTAGGAGCCAGGCTGCCCATGGGCACTTGGAGTAGTCAACTGGCCAGGAAGGCTCAGCATGAGGCCGCCCACAGTGTGAAGATGCTGGGGGAGGAGCTCACACCATTGAACTTGACCTTCACTGAGGCTGGGTTAGGAGGAAACTGTCATATGTTGGGTCAGGGATGAAAACCTAGAGGAGGGAGGCTGTGATACAATTTGAGGTTCTCTGTGATCAGCCACATCTTCCAAGATGTTACAGGTTTGAGCCACATACAAGCTGCCCAGGTAAGTGCCAAAAGCAGGAAAGGATCACCCCAGGTAAAGAATGAAGTGAGTCTCTATCTTTCACTTTCCTGAAGCCATGCAAGCTCCCTGTCTGCGTCCGACCTCGGCCAAGAGTCTGGCTTGTTCTGTGGGACATTTAATGAGTGAATACTTTAGCGTGCTGAGAAGGAACCAGTCTACATAAGGCTCTACCTGAACACAATCATTTTGAGCCTTAAAGCATAACAAAGACCCTATTCATGTTTGACCCTCTCAGAACTGGGCACACCAAGGCATAGAGAGGTCTATAGAACATGCCGGTACCTAGAGCTCCTCAGTAGGATTTGAACCCAGCGGGGGAGGCTCCAGGCACTGTGCTCTTGCTCACTAGGATATGCTAGCTCTCTCTATGACCTCATAGAAGAGCACATGTTTGCCCACACATCAGGCTGTTGGGCTCTAAGTGCAACCCAAACTTCAAGCTCTTCCCAGAGCCCAACTCAGGTTCAGGTGCTTCCCGTGGAGTTGCTCAAACAGTGTTTCAAAGTTTGAACCGTGAATAAACTAGGAAGAATTCCCCTACGGAATTCTGCCAGCCAGACATCACCAGTGCTCTTTCTTGTAATGCACTTGAAAGCACGTTGCGTCCAGGATCTGACAGTGGTACCTGAAAACTCAGCACAGGGAATTCTATTGCTGGACCAACGCAGTGGGTCAGAAATGTCCACAGCTGGCCACAGCATTCCGTGTAGCTGGAAAATTCATCAATGGAAGGTACTGTGGAAAACCAGTTCAGCTCATTCAGTCATCATGATTCTGGTTGGTTCAGCGTCTCATATTTAAGGCAAAACTCTAACACTGTTATGCTGTGGTCTTCTTTGAGTTCATCTGTGCAATTTGAAATTATCAAGGGAATCGTGAGTCTTACAACTAGAGTAGAAGGATAAAGCTGGGACAGTTTGCACAGAAAGCCCCATCTCAATCTAACGCTCCCCATGCAGGCGAGTGTGAAACATCGTCTGAGATGAGCTCTTCTCTGGGCTCAGCCACGCCTTGCAAGATCCCAAGAGAATCAAAAGGCTTCAAGTGCGAATCAATCGGTATGAACCTCTGTATAAATCCTGCCAACAGGATGTCAGCAGCTGTCTCTATCGTCATACATTTGGGAGGTGTGGCCACCAGGATCTGACAGTAGTTCCCGAGGAGTCGGCACCGTCTATCCTGGCCCCATGCAGTGGGTCAGAAAATCCCACAACCGGCCACACAGCTGAGGTCCTCCCAGAACACCATCCATTGAAGGTCCTGTGGGAAGTCAGTGAAGTTCATTCAATCATCATGATTCTAGTGGGTTCAGTGCCCCGTATTGAAGTCAGAACTCTAACACCGTTATGCTTTAGTCTTCTTTCAGTTCATCTGCGCGCATTTAAATGGAAGTCATTGCTATTCCTACAACTAGAGAAGTGACGATGTATTTACAGTGTAAAGGTAGGTACCCTTTAACGAGAAAGCAACATCTCAATCTAATGCTTACAGCAGATAAACCTCTTCCTGAAACAATGTTGCCGTCCCTGACAAAATTAGTCACTGTGTAGAACACTTTGAAATTAACATAAAACTGGAAGAGACAGTACAGAAAGCTCTCAGACCCTTTGTCCACACTTCTTTTCTGAACCCCTTTTTTCAGCGGTGTGGTTCACATGTAACAGCAATTACACCAGTATTGCTACATTCCTACCAACTGACGTCAGGAGCCTGCTTTGAGGCTCAGCGTGTTGTACCCTCTTTGGGTTGTGACAAACTCCGAATGCCTCTCACCCCCCAGACGAAGGAGCTGGACGTCCCAACCTCTCCCTGTGCTTCCCCTGCCAATCCCCTTACCCGTCTCCGGATGCCCTGGCAACAACGGTCCTGTTCACTGTCTCTAGAGTTTCCTTTTCCAGAACTGTCTATGCCTGGAATCATAGAGCAGGCAGCTTTTTTAGAGGGTCTTATCCCACTCAGCGATATTTATTCACGGCCAGCGTCTGACTTTGAGGTCACCCCGTGGCGGCTACCCTCTCTTCCCAGCCTTTCTTGGCAAGGCCTCATGTTGGCTTCAGTGGGAACTTCTTTTCATCTGCCCAGGCCCTTCTAACACCCACCAGTGTCAGCAAGACCAGGACCAGGGACAGCAGCAGCCTCCTGCCTTGGGGTCCTGGGACTGCACCCCCTCCCCAGTGAAATTTCCCAGGAATCTGTAGCCACCTCCCAGCCAGTTCTGATAGGTATCTGAAAAAGGAGGATGCTCCATGGAAAGAGTCATGGAAACTTCACTCCAACCTTCTGTACTAGAGTGTCATGATTCACTGGAGAGAATGTTCCCAAGAATGTGGAAAGCCTGACTCCCTTCACCGCCTCTGCCAGCCACGGCTTCTGCGTGGTGGGCACGATGTGCTCTGTAAAATGAGAAAACGGGCTTCTTCAGGGACTGAGCATCAGGCAAGCACGTGGCCCTCTTCCTAGGAGGAAGACACGATAGGTCGTGCATTGCAAGGCTGGAAAAGATTTATTCAGTGTCATGACCAAAAGAAACTTCACCCAATTCCCCGCCTAACCTCGTGGGTGATACAGGTTTCTGCTGTCGTTCGAGGTCCTTTGGAAGAAAACAGGATTCTTGCTTAAGAAAATGTAGATGAGAAATGAGGCATATGACGGGTTGCGGAACATGTGGATTATAAACACCACGTGAAATGCTTTCGATTTCATAGAATTCCGTGACCCTGCAATTGAGCTCTTCATATTGTTTTTCCACAAAACAAAAAGATGAGACTCACCATTAGAAAAGAGTCACTTTTTCTCCAGAAACTGGCTTCTCATAAGAAGATTGCCCTGGACGTTTCTCACTCTCTAGAACACAGCGGCCCAGTGGTGCTTGAGAGAAAACCCAGGGTGAGGAATTCAATGCTAAAAGGAGCGACTACAAGACCAAGGGCTGAGGAACCCAGAGGCGGCCGCTCAGTGGACTCACGGGAGAAGGCAGGGCTGGGGCCCCAGGCTGGACCTTGAGAGGGAGAAGATATAGAGGGGGAGAAGGAAGTCCCAAGAGCACCCGGGCGCGGAGAGAACGAGGATGGGGGAGGATGGCTTCCAGGGTTTTAATGTCAGGAGGCTCATTACGTCATAATCCCCAGAGTCCAGTAATTTTCGTGCTCCTTCTGAGTGGGAAAGAGCAGGGCGGACTGTCCTGGCTGCAGTGAGCCCCGCATGGACACCTCTGCCTTTTCTCAAGAGAGGGGGGTCCTTCCTGATGAATCTCTGGGACAGGAGCTGGGGACTGGGGTCTTCATCAGGTTGTGACAACGCAGACCTTTCCCATCCTGGAAGCTGGCCACAGACAGAGCAGGAATCCCATTTCCGATATTCTGAGCCAGACTGGCGGGGGACATAGTTCAGCAGGGATAGACTCAAGGTGAGGCCTGACACAGAGAGGCACCCAGGCCTGATCCTTGTGGGGCTGGGCAGAAACCAGTTTCCATCTTCCACGTGCTTCTGGAAGTTTCCTGTCAAGCGTGCTTCTGTAGACGGCCCTAGCCAAAGGTGGCCTGGCTCAGAAATGTGTTGAAACTGAAGGTAGTGTGGCCCCCGGCCAGGGAAGCTGCCCGGCAAAAGTGAGGGCACCAGCTCCGGTGCCAGGCGAGCTCAGCAAAGTGTGGGAGGCCGATCCCTGAGCCAGCCTTCCTTGCTCCTCCGTTTCACGGCACAGAGGACATGGGTTTGAGAGTTTCTCCAAAAGGATCTCGGCGTTCTCAGGCCCAACCTCTGAGTCCTCCCTGTCCTGGGGAGCCGCATTCTGGCCACAGCTTTTCAGTGCAAGGGCAGGAACTGTGACCTCGGCATCCCCTCTCCTCACAGCCCTCAGCCCTGGGCAGCCTGTCTTAGGCCCCATGAGGGTCTCATGAACGCAGCCCTGGGCTGGGCTCTAGCTCCAGTGGGCAAAAGTTCCCTCCTCACCCTGTCCCACCTGTTGGACCCTCCCACTGGGCGAGGTGTCTTCCCAGAGTTCCAATCAAGTCAGGGGTGGTGAGGGGGGGCTCCTGCAGACAGAGCTCTCACTGTTCGTGGGCTCCCTCTGCTCTGATCCTGTCTAGACAGAGTCGGTTTCATCCTTCTGAGTGCAAGCGCACCGCCTACATCACGGGGTCCCTCTGGGCCAAGGCACTGTCCTCACTGTTAAGTCCCCACAACTCACAGTGTCTGGCCCTTCTGCAGGTCCTAACCATATGCAATTTTCTTTCAAAAGCCCTCAGAAATCACACACGAATGATTGCATCAGAGCATCCAACAACTCTGCAAGGAAACACGCAGGAAGGGAGTCACGTCTTCCTCATCTGTGTATCTCTAGAGCTGCACCATCCAGCATGGGAGTCCCGGCCTGGCGGTGCTGTGTATAACCAGTTCATTCGTGAGAGCAGTTCATCCAAATAGAATGAGACATTCTACTCCCCAGTCACACTGGCCACATTTCCCGTGCCCCACAGACTTGGTGCCACCTGCCACCACATTCAGGAGAGAGCAAGATAATTTGCATCCACACAACACACCGTTGGGACTCTGCTCGGAGCATGGCACTGGGTCTGTGCATTGAACTCATCTAACTACGAAACCCGTGCATCAGAGCTGGAATTTCAGGTGAATGAGAATGGAAATGAGAGCTCTAATGACCTAGTGGAAACGGGGAAGTGGGAAGACGAAGGGGTCCCCTCTCCTGAGGTTTGCATGTGTCAACAGCGTCTTGTTGGAGATTCCAGACTCCACAGAAGCAAAGGAGGGTTGAACAGCCCAAGAGACAGCAGGGCAGTCCTGGGCGGTCCAGGGCGGCTGGAGGAGGAGGATGGATGAGCCTTTTTCTGGAGTCTTTGTCTTCTCACTTTCTTTTCTCTAGAGACTCCATGGTCAACAGAAGACATGACGCAAGCAGTGAAGAAGGTGACACTCTGGGTTTGGAACAACCCAAGGGGGGACCCGATAGAAGAGGGTGCCTGCAGCAGTCGGGGTCGGCCTGCGGCTTCAGAGACTAAGCAAGTGGGACATGAAATCAGAAAGAGAAAGGAGGTGTGTGTGGAAGGCGGCTTTGTCCTTGTCTCTCCTGACCCAGCAGGGAGAGGTTGGATCCTCTGGTCTTTGAGTGTGCAGTGTCTGTGATCATTTTTTCCCTCTGCGGTATTTAAAACAATCTTTCCCAGCAAACCACTTCTTCCCTGCCTTTGCCTCAGCCAATCTTCAAAGCCTTTGGTGATGTGTGCAGCACCTCTTGGGAAATGTACACAGCAGATTTTGTCCCAGGTTTTGGGCAGCGACCAGCAGGGGATGCAAACCGGGTGCCCAACTCTCTCGCAGGCACCACGGGATCCGGGAACCAAACCTCCTCTAGCCAGTGCAGGCGGGGTGAGAAGCCGGCCCTCCCCCTCCTTGCTTTCAGGACCCTGGCCACTGCTTCCTGGTCTGCCTCACTGTCTCTTCCTGGTGGAAAGGCTGTTTGTTCCCTGGGCTGGACGAGGTAAGGAATCCTCCCCTGGGATCACCGCAAATGTCCTGCATCCTGGAGACGCAACAGGAAACACAGCCCTCAGCACGTTTCAGTCCCCAGGTGTCACCCAAATGCCACATCCTGGGATGAGGAACAAAAGCTGAATTTACTTTGATTTGAGAGGCCCCAGTCCAGCTGCCCCTGGAGACCTTCCCCATTTGAGAGGATGTGTGAAGGGAGCTGGGCTTCCTGCCCATGCTGAGTATCACAGTCTCAGTGACTTCATCCCTGGAATCCTCCAGGCCCGGGACAGAGTCCCTGGCAGCAGGGAAAGGGCTCTCTGCACTCTCACGCCCACTGCCCTGACCAGACAGCACTGCCCTGCTGTCCACACTCCAGCCTCTTCTCTGTCTTCTGCCCTGCCGGGCACCAGGTTCCCACCCCGTTCTCCCACCCGCAGCGTGGTGCAAACCCAGACCCGTCCCCTCTCTGTATGTAGCCAGATCCTGCCTGTTATCGAGTCCCTGGCTGCCTCACTTGCAGACTAAGGTTATTTCCACAAGTTACATGACCTCAAACTCATGTTTATCCTCTTATGGGCTCTGGAACTGCCATGAAGATCCAATGTCTCTGAAGGCCCCCAAAGTTATACCAAAAGCAGAAACCTCACTTGGCATAGTGAGTCTGATGTAATCCTCTCCCATAGGACCCAACATAACTGCAGGATGGCGGGAAGGGAGCCCTGCCTGGGCTGCTCAGTTCGGTCAACTGATCAATTAATTGGAGGTGGTGGCAGTATGCCCACGGTGACTGCATCAGGGGTTGGAGGACGATAGGAATGGTGGAAGGTGAGGAGGGGACAGGAAATGGGTGTTATCATGGAGAATGAAACAGGCCCTAAAGTGGGGAGGGCAGAGGGAAGTCCATGTGATGCACAGAAAGTTACGCAGACGGTGGCCAACTCTCAGAGACACAGAGATGGCCCAGGCGACCCTTCCTGGTCACAGTTATGGAATGTGGTGACTGGAAAAGTGTTGGAGATGGGGACCAAGAGGCTCCTGGGGCTGGGCTCCATCATCCCAGGAGTAACAGGAACCTGGTTCCCACCTGCACTCTAACTTCCTCCTTTCTTTCCCAAGGCCACCCTGTTGCGCTTCCTGCCGGAGGACATGCAGCCGGGAATGTGGCAAATTGCAAGGAATCTGAGAGTGGAGGCAGCGGCATGCCTGTCATTCAGTTCCTGTCTCATCTTCCTTTCACCCTCCCTTTCCTTTCCATCCCCCTTTTCTTTGTCAGGAGCTTCTCTTTGGAGCCCCGTGCCATTCCCTCTTGCGTCTTTTAGGACCGTCCTCCTGAAGGACCTGGTCCCACCCAGGCAGCTGAGGTCCTGGGTCTGCACTGTGGATGAAGCCCCAGCCCTCCTTTCACTGCCTTGGCCCTGTCCTGGGTGCTGACCCCAGGCTGCAGCACTGACTCCTGCTGAGCAGCCCCAAGGGCTCCAGGCAGGGAGCTGGGCTGGGGGAGGAAGGAAAGTCTGGGTCTGTCCTGGACACCCCCTCACAGGGCGTTTTCTGCCCTGGGGGCTCTGGACATGCGCAGTTCTTCTCTTCCAGAAGTCAGGACAGTGTTCCATTCTCCCTGCAGGAGAGGACACAGAGGACACAAAGGTGGAAGAAAAGAGAGGGAGTGAGCGTGGAGGGGCCGCACGAAGAGGGGCCGGCAGGACGTGCACACGGCCCAATGCTCCTCGCACTTTCTTACTGCCCTGACCACTAAATCAGTGCAGTCCATCCCAGAAAACACTGGAGCAGCTTCTCTTAAGGGGAACTCAACAGCCGCAGAGGAGAGAATCCTTTTCAACAATCCACACACCAGATTCCCAAAGGCTACCCAGTTGAACGTCTACATTAATTCGCTTCCGCAAGACATTTAGGGAGACAGACTCATAGGACAGAGCCTCACAAGGAATTCGCTTCCCTGTAACTGACAAACGCTAAAGAGCAGTGAAGGTGAGTTAACCGTGGACGAGGCCTGTGGACAGGCAGCACCCACAGCAGAGAGCAGCAACCAGGCCTCAGTGCCCTGTGGACCTGAGCCGGGGGTCGTCAGGCCATGTCACCTTCCAGGGCCCGAGGGGCTTCTTTCTGGGTCCTGCTCACCCAGACCAGCGAGCCCTCCTCCTCTCTCCCTGTGCCTTCCAGTGACCCTGCGCCCGGGTCTGTGTGGCAGATCCTGTCCCCACACCCAGGCAGGCCCTGATGTGCAGACCCCCCCATGCCCAGAGAAGACCTGCAGCACGACAGGTTTCAGGGAGACGGAGACAGACAGGAGGCTTCCTCGCCTCATTTAGCGGCGGTTAATTTTTCAATATCACAGATATGGGATTGTGTTTAGAAGTTTTTTTTTTAACTGTTTATTTTTAATGCAAGTGGCTTTCCTACAACTAGTCATATTTTATAAATATTTTCTGTATAAAAATAGATAAATCTGTGAAAACAGCTTAAACAGAGAGGCCTTGATGAGCTCCTCTGAGCTCTATGCTTTGTGCTGCGGTCATGTTTCCGACTGTGGAGCCCAGTGCTCCTGAGAAGTTTCTCTCAGCTTCCTGGCCCTGCCCTCAGACTTTCTAATGGAAAGTGCCCAGAGCCTCTGTGGGATTCCCCAGCCTCTCCCGCTCTACCCCGCCCCTTCCGAGGGTAATTCCCCACTCCTTCTGTGCTAATTAAGTGTAGTCTTGTGCTCTGAACATACGCGGAGTCACTGGTTTCTTTCTGCAAACCTGGCGTTGGGTGTGCTTCTCCTCCCCACACACAGCAGGCTGCCAGGGTGCTGGGGACGTTGTGTATGTTGAACTGGGGGTTGGGGAGACACGTGGCTCTAAAGAAAGAGCAACCAGGCTGTAGCTTCCCATTTGTGCACCACACCATAGGCAGAATAAGCACCCATTTCACAACGAAATAGAGCAGAAAAAGCCTCTTTTGCCACAAAGGCAACTACCGGCACAAGTTAATTTCCTCTAATTTCTACCAAATGTTTAAGGTGGAAACAATGCCAGTCTCCTACATGCTCTTCCAGAGATGAGATGTGGGGACTCATCCAGCTGCCTCATCAGATCAGGAGACACTAGACCCCACCCTAGCAACAGACACTTCAGGGAAGGGGAACGTCAGGCCAAAGGCTCTGGAGAGGATGTGTCCGAATGTGACGGCAATCTTCAGCAGTCTCGATTCTGAGATGCTTGGAAGGAAAGTAAGTGAACTGCCCTGCCGAGGTTTGCATGGGGCTGAGGAGGACAAGACCGCTGGCTGTTTTGCTGCAGCCGGGAGAGTGGTGAGATAGGAGATGCCATCGGGCTCGTGGAATACACATTTGGCAACAGAGTGACGGAGGCCCTGGGTGGTCCTCACAGAGGATCCTGGGATGGGGTCTTCAGGCTGTAGCGATGAACAGAGCCCTCTAAGAGGAGATGCAGTCTGCCCTGACACGGCAGGGTCTAGGGAGGGAGAAGATTGTGGAGACTGAGTCTTGGTGAAGAGGGATATGGGCAGTGAGGCGCCCTACTGTGTGCTAGAGGAGACACTGCCTCTTTCCAGCCAGGCCTGAGTCTGGGCTGCTGAGATACATGCTCAGATCTCCAGTCCATGAATGAGAGGAAAGCAGGTGCTGGGAGGCTTCACTCACCGAGCCACCAGAGCAGCAGCCCAGAGGCCTCCTCCCAGGTGTTCACCTTCACTGGTCATAAGAGTTTGTCAGTTACAGTGAAGCTAATTCTTTGAGAGGTTCTGGTCCCATGGGTGTGGCTGGCTCGGGAATCCTGAGCTCTGAGCCAGTGAGGGGTCAAGGAGGCCACTAGTCATTCAGGGTGGTCGCCGGAAGCACCGGAAACCTCACCTTGAGGCGGCTCCTGGTGTGAAGGTGCTGGGGCAGGAGGGGCGTGGTTTGGACCCTGATCCTTCTCTTTGTTTGAGGTCACCTGGGTCAGATTTTCGGTCAAGGATTAAAACAGAGGCAGGAGCCTGGGTCAGGGACCACCCACGAGAGGAGCTCTCCTCAAAGCATTCCTGGAACACGAGGATTTGGGATATGGGTGAGGGAAGACCTGGTTCCGGCGCCCAGGGCGTGATCGAGAGGCCTCTGGGCTTCAGGGATCTCCTTCTCCAGGGACCTAACTACATCCCTGGCTCTGCCACAGCCCTCCTCAGTATTGTGACTCTGGGGAAGTCACTTAGGCCTCTCAGTTTAGTGTCCTCAGCTGTAAACTGTGGGTCCCAGCCCTGCTCTGCCCACTTCACGGGGCCCCTGTGAGGGTCAGAGGGATGGGGCAGCTGCTCTCGAGGAGCTGGAAGGCATCTTGCCCATGTAAAGCCTGGAAAGTGACTCATGACTCTGGTGGCATCTCTGCAGGAACCACTGCTGCTTGTCTCTCATTCCCCAGACATTCGGATCTGAGCATGACTAGAGCCCTAATGACGTGGCAGTTATTTGGATTCTGGCTTCATCTGGGTCTGCCTCTAGGTCGCATCTGAGCTCAGGCCATCAGGCACCTGCCCCTTGCTCTCGGTCAGTGAGCTCAGCTGCCTTCTGAATTGTCTCATTAGAGGAAAGTTCCCAGGATCAGCCCGGAGTTGATATAAAGAGCTCACAGCACCCCAGCACCCGTCCTCCTAAGCCCAGCTATGACTCGGTGGCTCCCCTAGGCAGCTGCTGGGCACGAGTGTCACCTGGGAAAGATGAACACCTGCCCGTGGTCGCCGGACCGCACTGTCTCCACAGGGGGCGCTACTTTCAATTTATTTTTCCCAGGCTCATGGCTTGTGGCTACAACAAGAAGAGATCACGAAAGATTCAAATTTAGAATACACCAGAAAGGTGATCCGGGCTCAACAGAACCTCCTGGCCATTCCCAGAGCATCCCATTCGGCATCTGGCAACAGCATGGAGCCTCGGACGTCACCCCTGCCAGCTCCTCCACTAAGGGCGTCATGGACCTGAAGCCATCAGGAGATTGGGGTCTTTATTGCGGTTTGCGCAGCAGGGCCTGAGTCTTGGTGAGGAAGGACAGGAGCAGGGAGGCACCCACTCAGAGCTGGGGCAGCCACTGTTTCTTCTCAGCCAGGCCTCAGTCCAGTCTGCTGGGGCAGCTGCTCTGATCAACAGGCACTGAGATCCTGGCATCTTGCAGGCTTCAGTCCTCGAGCTGCCCAAGCACCAGCCCAGCAGGCCACGTTTTCAAAGAATCTGAACTGCCCAGGAGCCCGGTTTGGTCAGTTGAATGCAAATGTGTTTCAAAGTCCAACTGTCACGTTGGCAGTTGGTGGCAGACGTCCCGCATTCCGAGTTGGTTGGGAGTTGAGAAGGCTACTGGTCATTCAGGGCAGTCACCCTACCCCACGGGAGTGTCTTCACAGGGCAGCCACAGAGTCACCGTGGGGGCAGACAGACACAAATGTGGACCCCATGCCTTCAGGAGGGCTTCATTTGGGGAACGTCATGGCATTTTGGGTCAGGGATTGAAATGTAAACCCGGGAGTTGAGTCGGGATTTGGGCCCTTCTCTTGGGCCAAGCGCCTCCTCCAGGCATCAGTGTCTCCCTGCAGCAGCTGTGGGGTTGGGGCTTTGGACGAGGAGTGAAGAGGGTCCTTGGTTCAGTGTCCAGGGCGGGATCTAATGGTCTTGATGCAGGTGAGCTCGAGAATGGCTCTGCTCAGAGACAAGAGGGAGCCAACAGTGAATGAAGGCATGTCTTGGTGAACAAGTGTCGCCCAAAATGGCTGCTCCACAGAGAACAGGGCTGTCCAGAGGCGTGAAGCACCAGTGGAGGGATGGCTGGCTGAATTTATACCTACTCCTAATTATATGCTAATTAAGGGGTGGGCTATTCATGACTTTCTGGAAAAGGGGCAGGAGTTCCCAAAACGGTGGAAGGTAACATCCAGGGCGTGACCTTAGCACTGGTAACATTTCATAGCCCTGGGGGGAGTGCCTCAAGGGAATGCATTAGAATTCCTAGCCCTAGCTGGTTCCCTTGGCTTCTTCACTACATCTTGTTTTGATCAGCAGGGCCTGTGTGACAGGTGCTTGGAAAGTGAGTCCTGCTCGTCTCCTGCCTGAGCCGTGGCATCCAGCAGTGCCTCTCAGTTTGGATTGGAAATATTCTTATATCTAAAATTGTGCAATACAATGTTTGAATATTTCATTTACCTGTGATTGACTGTGCTTTTTAAAGTTGTTCAATTCATCTTCACAATAAAAGAAAAAGTGATTTTGAAATCAAATGTGTATTTTGGGATATGTAGACTTTGTCAAAGAGAATTTTCAAAAGGGCTTTGACTTCATGGAGAACCAGGTTGCAAATATCCAGGGATTCCAAGATACTACATAAAGCATCTAGCGATAGAAATACTTAAAATACGGATGTGAAATTTCCCCAAGTTGCCAAATATCCCTCTGCAGCTGTGAACAAGATGTGGCTAGTTTTGTCTTTTGGTTTCCCTGAAGACAAATCCAAAGGTAGATAGCACAGAAGGGTGTGTGCGTGTACGTGTGCATATGTGTGTGTGTGTGTGTGTGTGTGTGTGTGTGTCGGGGTGGAGGAGGGAGGGCAAGGTGCGAGATTCTCATGCACCTCATGGTGTAGCCTCGTGTCATGGATGAAAGCCTGAGCCTCACAACTGCATCACTGCCGCTTTGTGTAGACCCTGCCCTGAGTGACTAAGGACCGTGCAAATCCTGCAGCTGCTGCATTGAGCACAGGTTGCTGACTGAGAAAAATCTCCAGGGCTCTGCTTGTCTTCATAACGTGCCTTTTCTAGACATCTCACATAAATGGCATCGTGTAATACACCGTCTTGGAGCCCTTCCTTCACTTAGCATAATGTGCGAGATTCCCTCATCACCTAGCGTGCATCTGGAGGGATTGTCTTTTCTCCTTTTGATTGCTGAGTAGTTCTCCACAGCATAGATGCACCACATTTTGTTTACCCATTCACCAGCTGATGGACACTTGAGTTGTTTCTGTTTGTTGGCTATTATGAATAATCGTTCTGAGATTTATGAACAAGTCTTTTGTGAACATATGTTTTTATTTCTTCTGGGAGAATTTCCAGGGGTACAATTGCTAGAGTCAATAAAAAGTTTATGTTCCACTTTGTAAACAGCTGGTGAAATGATTGACATACTTAGTATTATTCCCAACGAGAACGAGGACACACCCAAGACAAGCCGGATCACCTCCTCAGTCCTCATCTAGGAGAGGAGAAGAAAGCAGCGAAAGTGTTCACGTACAGGTTTTGTGAGAAGCCGAGTTTTGGGTTTCCTCGGTAAAATAGCCCAGGGGTGGGAGTGCAGGGTCACAGGGTGCCTGCCTGCCCTGACTGCCACCCCAGCAGAACCTGAGTAGTCCCTGCACTTCTGTTAGCCACACTCTCCTCCGGGGTTCCCAGGGTAAGGGCAAAAGGACAGACAAGCACGGATCCCAAAGCTGTCACCTCCTGCCCCAGCTGCCAGGTCACGAACACTGCTCCCCAGCAGCTCACCCTCTGTGTGCTGGGTCCCCATCCTAGACATGTCCTGACTTTCCAGAGGTTGACATGGGAAAACAGGGGCCACTGCTCTGCCAATAAGTGTGTCTCCCTGGAGCCCAGCACCCTAAACCATCAACAAGAGATGAGAACCTCTAGGCATCCAGGGCTGGGATCCCCAGCATTTGGTCTCCCCTGTTCCTCCCGGGTCATTGGCGTTGGTGCGTCTTCCTCCAGCATCCTTTGCCCCTGGAGGTTGCCAGCAGGTGCCTGCCCGAGCCAGTTCCTTGCAAATGTGTAAGGCATGCCCATTCATCCATCAGAGGTCAAAGATGCACGACCGGGAAAACGCAGGAAACAGCGCATGCTTCACCTATAGCCCAGTTGGCAGCTAGACGCTCAGAGCCCAGCTCTCTAGTTCAAGGATGAAGGCTCACCCCACTGCTCCTAGGGGAAGCTACCTGAAAAAGCTTTGCCCTTTGCCCCTACCTGCTGCCCTGGGGGTTCAGGGCCAGCTTGGCGGGAATCAGCTACTTAGAGCCTTCTCACCGAGCCCCCCAGTTCTTATGGCTGGTGGGTGTCCCAGCTGTGCCTGCACGGGGACTGACAATACCGTGTGACTTGTACAGACATCTCAAGACCATCCATCATTCTGGCCCTGCAGACCTGAATCCCATTTCCGATATTCTGAGCCCGACTGGCGGGGGACATAGTTCAGCAGGGATAGACTCAAGGTGAGGCCTGACACAGAGAGGCACCCAGGCCTGATCCTTGTGGTGCTGGGCAGAAACCAGTTTCCATCTTCCACGTGCTTCTGGAATTTCCTGTCAAGCGTGCTTCTGTAGACGGCCCTAGCCAAAGGTGGCCTGGCTCAGAAATGTGTTGAAACTGAAGGTAGTGTGGCCCCCGGCCAGGGAAGCTGCCCGGCAAAAGTGAGGGCACCAGCTCCGGTGCCAGGCGAGCTCAGCAAAGTGTGGGAGGCCGATCCCTGAGCCAGCCTTCTTGCTCCTCCGTTCACGGCACAGAGGACATGGTTTGAGAGTTTCTCCAAAAGGATCTCGGCGTTCTCAGGCCCAACCTCTGAGTCCTCCCCCGTCCTGGGGAGCCGCATTCTGGCCACAGCTATTCAGTGCAAGGGCAGGAACTGTGACCTCGGCATCCCCTCTCCTCACAGCCCTCAGCCCTGGGCAGCCTGTCTTAGGCCCATGAGGGTCTCATGAACGCAGCCCTGGGCTGGGCTCTAGCTCCAGTGGGCAAAAGTTCCCTCCTCACCCTGTCCCACCTGTTGGACCCTCCCACTGGGCGAGGTGTCTTCCCAGAGTTCCAATCAAGTCAGGGGTGGTGAGGGGGGGCTCCTGCAGACAGAGCTCTCCCTGTTCGTGGGCTCCCTCTGCTCTGATCCTGTCTAGACAGAGTCGGTTTCATCCTTCTGAGTGCAAGCGCACGCCTACATCACGGGGTCCCTCTGGCCAAGGCACTGTCCTCACTGTTAAGTCCCCACAACTCACAGTGTCTGGCCCTTCTGCAGGTCCTACCATATGCGATTTTCCTTTCAAAAGCCCTCAGAAATCACACACGAATGATTGCATCAGAGCATCCAACAACTCTGCAAGGAAACACGCAGGAAGGGAGTCACGTCTTCCTCATCTGTGTATCTCTAGAGCTGCACCATCCAGCATGGGAGTCCCGGCCTGGCGGTGCTGTGTATAACCAGTTCATTCGTGAGAGCAGTTCATCCAAATAGAATGAGACATTCTACTCCCCAGTCACACTGGCCACATTTCCCGTGCCCCACAGACTTGGTGCCACCTGCCACCACATTCAGGAGAGAGCAAGATAATTTGCATCCACACAACACACCGTTGGGACTCTGCTCGGAGCATGGCACTGGGTCTGTGCATTGACTCATCTAACTACGAAACCCGTGCATCAGAGCTGGAATTTCAGGTGAATGAGAATGGAAATGAGAGCTCTAATGACCTAGTGGAAACGGGGAAGTGGGAAGACGAAGGGGTCCCCTCTCCTGAGGTTTGCATGTGTCAACAGCGTCTTGTTGGAGATTCCAGACTCCACAGAAGCAAAGGAGGGTTGAACAGCCCAAGAGACAGCAGGGCAGTCCTGGGCGGTCCAGGGCGGCTGGAGGAGGAGGATGGATGAGCCTTTTTCTGGAGTCTTTGTCTTCTCACTTTCTTTTCTCTAGAGACTCCATGGTCAACAGAAGACATGACGCAAGCAGTGAAGAAGGTGACACTCTGGGTTGGAACAACCCAAGGGGGGACCCGATAGAAGAGGGTGCCTGCAGCAGTCGGGGTCGGCCTGCGGCTTCAGAGACTAAGCAAGTGGGACATGAAATCAGAAAGAGAAAGGAGGTGTGTGTGGAAGGCGGCTTTGTCCTTGTCTCTCCTGACCCAGCAGGGAGAGGTTGGATCCTCTGGTCTTTGAGTGTGCAGTGTCTGTGATCATTTTTTCCCTCTGCGGTATTTAAAACAATCTTTCCCAGCAAACCACTTCTTCCTGCCTTTGCCTCAGCCAATCTTCAAAGCCTTTGGTGATGTGTGCAGCACCTCTTGGGAAATGTACACAGCAGATTTTGTCCCAGGTTTTGGGCAGCGACCAGCAGGGGATGCAAACCGGGTGCCCAACTCTCTCGCAGGCACCACGGGATCCGGGAACCAAACCTCCTCTAGCCAGTGCAGGTGGGGTGAGAAGCCGGCCCTCCCCCTCCTTGCTTTCAGGACCCTGGCCGCTGCTTCCTGGTCTGCCTCACTGTCTGTTCCTGGTGGAAAGGCTGTTTGTTCCCTGGGCTGGACGAGGTAAGGAATCCTCCTCTGGGATCACCGCAAATGTCCTGCATCCTGGAGACGCAACAGGAAACACAGCCCTCAGCACGTTTCAGTCCCCAGGTGTCACCCAAATGCCACATCCTGGGATGAGGAACAAAAGCTGAATTTACTTTGATTTGAGAGGCCCCAGTCCAGCTGCCCCTGGAGACCTTCCCCATTTGAGAGGATGTGTGAAGGGAGCTGGGCTTCCTGCCCATGCTGAGTATCACAGTCTCAGTGACTTCATCCCTGGAATCCTCCAGGCCCGGGACAGAGTCCCTGGCAGCAGGGAAAGGGCTCTCTGCACTCTCACGCCCACTGCCCTGACCAGACAGCACTGCCCTGCTGTCCACACTCCAGCCTCTTCTCTGTCTTCTGCCCTGCCGGGCACCAGGTTCCCACCCCGTTCTCCCACCCGCAGCTTGGTGCAAACCCTGACCCGTCCCCTCTCTGTATGTAGCCAGATCCTGCCTGTTATCGAGTCCCTGGCTGCCTCACTTGCAGACTAAGGTTATTTCCACAAGTTACATGACCTCAAACTCATGTTTATCCTCTTATGGGCTCTGGAACTGCCATGAAGATCCAATGTCTCTGAAGGCCCCCAAAGTTATACCAAAAGCAGAAACCTCACTTGGCATAGTGAGTCTGATGTAATCCTCTCCCATAGGACCCAACATAACTGCAGGATGGCGGGAAGGGAGCCCTGCCTGGGCTGCTCAGTTCGGTCAACTGATCAATTAATTGGAGGTGGTGGCAGTATGCCCACGGTGACTGCATCAGGGGTTGGAGGACGATAGGAATGGTGGAAGGTGAGGAGGGGACAGGAAATGGGTGTTATCATGGAGAATGAAACAGGCCCTAAAGTGGGGAGGGCAGAGGGAAGTCCATGTGATGCACAGAAAGTTACGCAGACGGTGGCCAACTCTCAGAGACACAGAGATGGCCCAGGCGACCCTTCCTGGTCACAGTTATGGAATGTGGTGACTGGAAAAGTGTTGGAGATGGGGACCAAGAGGCTCCTGGGGCTGGGCTCCATCATCCCAGGAGTAACAGGAACCTGGTTCCCACCTGCACTCTAACTTCCTCCTTTCTTTCCCAAGGCCACCCTGTTGCGCTTCCTGCCGGAGGACATGCAGCCGGGAATGTGGCAAATTGCAAGGAATCTGAGAGTGGAGGCAGCGGCATGCCTGTCATTCAGTTCCTGTCTCATCTTCCTTTCACCCTCCCTTTCCTTTCCATCCCCCTTTTCTTTGTCAGGAGCTTCTCTTTGGAGCCCCGTGCCATTCCCTCTTGCGTCTTTTAGGACCGTCCTCCTGAAGGACCTGGTCCCACCCAGGCAGCTGAGGTCCTGGGTCTGCACTGTGGATGAAGCCCCAGCCCTCCTTTCACTGCCTTGGCCCTGTCCTGGGTGCTGACCCCAGGCTGCAGCACTGACTCCTGCTGAGCAGCCCCAAGGGCTCCAGGCAGGGAGCTGGGCTGGGGGAGGAAGGAAAGTCTGGGTCTGTCCTGGACACCCCCTCACAGGGCGTTTTCTGCCCTGGGGGCTCTGGACATGCGCAGTTCTTCTCTTCCAGAAGTCAGGACAGTGTTCCATTCTCCCTGCAGGAGAGGACACAGAGGACACAAAGGTGGAAGAAAAGAGAGGGAGTGAGCGTGGAGGGGCCGCACGAAGAGGGGCCGGCAGGACGTGCACACGGCCCAATGCTCCTCGCACTTTCTTACTGCCCTGACCACTAAATCAGTGCAGTCCATCCCAGAAAACACTGGAGCAGCTTCTCTTAAGGGGAACTCAACAGCCGCAGAGGAGAGAATCCTTTTCAACAATCCACACACCAGATTCCCAAAGGCTACCCAGTTGAACGTCTACATTAATTCGCTTCCGCAAGACATTTAGGGAGACAGACTCATAGGACAGAGCCTCACAAGGAATTCGCTTCCCTGTAACTGACAAACGCTAAAGAGCAGTGAAGGTGAGTTAACCGTGGACGAGGCCTGTGGACAGGCAGCACCCACAGCAGAGAGCAGCAACCAGGCCTCAGTGCCCTGTGGACCTGAGCCGGGGGTCGTCAGGCCATGTCACCTTCCAGGGCCCGAGGGGCTTCTTTCTGGGTCCTGCTCACCCAGCCCAGCGAGCCCCTCCTCCTCTCTCCCTGTGCCTCCCAGTGACCCTGCGCCCGGGTCTGTGTGGCAGATCCTGTCCCCACACCCAGGCAGGCCCTGATGTGCAGACCCCCCCATGCCCAGAGAAGACCTGCAGCACGACAGGTTTCAGGGAGACGGAGACAGACAGGAGGCTGCCTCACCTCATTTAGCGGCGGTTCATTTTTCAATATCACAGATATGGGATTGTGTTTAGAAGTTTTTTTTTTAACTGTTTATTTTTAATGCAAGTGGCTTTCCCTACAACTAGTCATATTTTATAAATATTTTCTGTATAAAAATAGATAAATCTGTGAAAACAGCTTAAACAGAGAGGCCTTGATGAGCTCCTCTGAGCTCTATGCTTTGTGCTGCGGTCATGTTTCCGACTGTGGAGCCCAGTGCTCCTGAGAAGTTTCTCTCAGCTTCCTGGCCCTGCCCTCAGACTTTCTAATGGAAAGTGCCCAGAGCCTCTGTGGGCTTCCCCAGGCTCTCCCGCTCTGCCCCGCCCCTTCCGAGGGTAATTCCCCACTCCTTCTGTGCTAATTAAGTGTAGTCTTGTGCTCTGAACATACGCGGAGTCACTGGTTTCTTTCTGCAAACCTGGCGTTGGGTGTGATTCTCCTCCCCACACACAGCAGGCTGCCAGGGTGCTGAGGACGTTGTGTATGTTGAACTGGGGGTTGGGGAGACACGTGGCTCTAAAGAAAGAGCAACCAGGCTGTAGCTTCCCATTTGTGCACCACACCATAGGCAGAATAAGCACCCATTTCACAACAAAATAGAGCAGAAAAAGCCTCTTTTGCCACAAAGGCAACTACCGGCACAAGTTAATTTCCTCTAATTTCTACCAAATGTTTAAGGTGGAAACAATGCCAGTCTCCTACATGCTCTTCCAGAGATGAGATGTGGGGACTCATCCAGCTACCTCATCAGATCAGGAGACACTAGACCCCACCCTAGCAACAGACACTTCAGGGAAGGGGAACGTCAGGCCAAAGGCTCTGGAGAGGATGTGTCCGAATGTGACGGCAATCTTCAGCAGTCTCGATTCTGAGATGCTTGGAAGGAAAGTAAGTGAACTGCCCTGCCGAGGTTTGCATGGGGCTGAGGAGGACAAGACCGCTGGCTGTTTTGCTGCAGCCGGGAGAGTGGTGAGATAGGAGATGCCATCGGGCTCGTGGAATACACATTTGGCAACAGAGTGACGGAGGCCCTGGGTGGTCCTCACAGAGGATCCTGGGATGGGGTCTTCAGGCTGTAGCGATGAACAGAGCCCTCTAAGAGGAGATGCAGTCTGCCCTGACACGGCAGGGTCTAGGGAGGGAGAAGATTGTGGAGACTGAGTCTTGGTGAAGAGGGATATGGGCAGTGAGGCGCCCACTGTGTGCTAGAGGAGACACTGCCTCTTCCCAGCCAGGCCTGAGTCTGGGCTGCTGAGATACATGCTCAGATCTCCAGTCCATGAATGAGAGGAAAGCAGGTGCTGGGAGGCTTCACTCACCGAGCCACCAGAGCAGCAGCCCAGAGGCCTCCTCCCAGGTGTTCACCTTCACTGGTCATAAGAGTTTGTCAGTTACAGTGAAGCTAATTCTTTGAGAGGTTCTGGTCCCATGGGTGTGGCTGGCTCGGGAATCCTGAGCTCTGAGCCAGTGAGGGGTCAAGGAGGCCACTAGTCATTCAGGGTGGTCGCCGAAGCACCGGAAACCTCACCTTGAGGCGGCTCCTGGTGTGAAGGTGCTGGGGCAGGAGGGGCGTGGTTTGGACCCTGATCCTTCTCTTTGTTTGAGGTCACCTGGGTCAGATTTTCGGTCAAGGATTAAAACAGAGGCAGGAGCCTGGGTCAGGGACCACCCACGAGAGGAGCTCTCCTCAAAGCATTCCTGGAACACGAGGATTTGGGATATGGGTGAGGGAAGACCTGGTTCCGGCGCCCAGGGCGTGATCGAGAGGCCTCTGGGCTTCAGGGATCTCCTTCTCCAGGGACCTAACTACATCCCTGGCTCAGCCACAGCCCACCTCAGTATTGTGACTCTGGGGAAGTCACTTAGGCCTCTCAGGTTTAGTGTCCTCAGCTGTAAACTGTGGGTCCCAGCCCTGCTCTGCCCACTTCACGGGGCCCCTGTGAGGGTCAGAGGGATGGTGGCAGCTGCTCTCGAGGAGCTGGAAGGCATCTTGCCCATGTAAAGCCTGGAAAGTGACTTATGACTCTGGTGGCATCTCTGCAGGAACCACTGCTGCTTGTCTCTCATTCCCCAGACATTCCGGATCTGAGCATGACTAGAGCCCTAATGACGTGGCAGTTATTTGGATTCTGGCTTCATCTGGGTCTGCCTCTAGGTCGCATCTGAGCTCAGGCCATCAGGCACCTGCCCCTTGCTCTCGGTCAGTGAGCTCAGCTGCCTTCTGAATTGTCTCATTAGAGGAAAGTTCCCAGGATCAGCCCGGAGTTGATATAAAGAGCTCACAGCACCCCAGCACCCGTCCTCCTATGCCCAGCTATGACTCGGTGGCTCCCCTAGGCAGCTGCTGGGCACGAGTGTCACCTGGGAAAGATGAACACCTGCCCGTGGTCGCCGGACCGCACTGTCTCCACAGGGGGCGCTACTTTCAATTTATTTTTCCCAGGCTCATGGCTTGTGGCTACAACAAGAAGAGATCACGAAAGATTCAAATTTAGAATACACCAGAAAGGTGATCCGGGCTCAACAGAACCTCCTGGCCATTCCCAGAGCATCCCATTCGGCATCTGGCAACAGCATGGAGCCTCGGACGTCACCCCTGCCAGCTCCTCCACTAAGGGCGTCATGGACCTGAAGCCATCAGGAGATTGGGGTCTTTATTGCGGTTTGCGCAGCAGGGCCTGAGTCTTGGTGAGGAAGGACAGGAGCAGGGAGGCACCCACTCAGAGCTGGGGCAGCCACTGTTTCTTCTCAGCCAGGCCTCAGTCCAGTCTGCTGGGGCAGCTGCTCTGATCAACAGGCACTGAGATCCTGGCATCTTGCAGGCTTCAGTCCTCGAGCTGCCCAAGCACCAGCCCAGCAGGCCACGTTTTCAAAGAATCTGAACTGCCCAGGAGCCCGGTTTGGTCAGTTGAATGCAAATGTGTTTCAAAGTCCAACTGTCACGTTGGCAGTTGGTGGCAGACGTCCCGCATTCCGAGTTGGTTGGGAGTTGAGAAGGCTACTGGTCATTCAGGGCAGTCACCCTACCCCACGGGAGTGTCTTCACAGGGCAGCCACAGAGTCACCGTGGGGGCAGACAGACACAAATGTGGACCCCATGCCTTCAGGAGGGCTTCATTTGGGGAACGTCATGGCATTTTGGGTCAGGGATTGAAATGTAAACCCGGGAGTTGAGTCGGGATTTGGGCCCTTCTCTTGGGCCAAGCGCCTCCTCCAGGCATCAGTGTCTCCCTGCAGCAGCTGTGGGGTTGGGGCTTTGGACGAGGAGTGAGGAGGGTCCTTGGTTCAGTATCCAGGGCGGGATCTAATGGTCTTGATGCAGGTGAGCTCAAGAATTGGCTCTGCTCAGGAGACAAGAGGGAGCCAACAGTGAATGAAGGCATGTCTTGGTGAACAAGTGTCGCCCAAAATGGCTGCTCCACAGAGAACAGGGCTGTCCAGAGGCGTGAAGCACCAGTGGAGGGATGGCTGGCTGAATTTATACCAACTCCTAATTATATGCTAATTAGGGGGCGGGCTATTCTGGTAAAGGGGCACCAGTTCCTGGAACCACATAAGGTAACTTTCAGGTCGTTGCCATAGCATTTGTAAACTGTCATGGCCCTGGTGGAAGTGACTCAAGCGAATGGATTAGAATTCCTTGTCCTAGCTGGTTTGGGCCAGTTTCTTTGCTGCATCTTGTTTTGATCAGCAGGGCCATGACAGGTGCTTGGAAAGTGAGTCCTGCTCGTCTCCTGCCTCAGTCTCAGGTGTTCGGGCATCTCCATCTCTTGGGAACCAATCAATTCCCTGCCTGAGCGTCATTACCCGTCAGTGTTGCTACTCCGAGCAAGTCACTGGATCTCTGTACCTTTCAGTGCCCTGAATCATAAAGTAAAGGTCACAGCCCCTGCTCTGTCCATGCAGGAGCTGTAAAGTGTCGTGCCCGTGCCCATGTGGAACAGTAGGGCTCTGTCCTGTGTGACACTCCCAGGCACACGTGGCTTTGGTCTCAGGTCATCGGGTTCCGGCACCCATGCCCTGGTCACTGTGTTGTGCTAAGTTCCTACACGGTCTCATCTAAAGAAAGCGACGGGTCACACACAATCTGTGGGTGTTTTCTGCACGGCACACTCCAGGATCCCTCCTCGTAACCCCACTTTCATTCAGGTGGCCCCGCTGCACAGTTAGTGATAAGGAGATCGTGGGTTCCAGTGAAGAGTGTACATGGGGATGGATCCTTGGGGAAGAAAGCGTAGCCCCTGGCGCCACAGCTGCATCGAATCAGGCTCTGGCGGAAGAACCAGGTTAAGCCTCAAATATCATCCCGTACAACCCCCTCCACCGAAGTCCCTGGGGGATTTAATCATCGAGTTCATTCACCAGCTATTGTTGTAGTTTATTTAGTGCAACATGTTTAGAAACAAAATACTTATATTCTTCTGTACTGAAATATAATTCGCATTCCATAAATGCACCTTTTCAAAGGATACAATTCGGTGGTTTTTAGCATATTCTGGTTTTGCCTTCATACTTTCCCACTCCAAAAAGAAAACCCTTGCCACGTCAGCCAACCCTGTTCTCTCCACAGGCCCTGCCCTGCCAACCCCTCATCTGCTTTTGGTCTACGGATTTTTTTATTCTGGATATTTCATACACATGGAATCATACAATGGGCTGGCTTTTGTGACCTGACTTCTTTCTGTAGGCAGAATGCACTCAAGTTCGCCCGTGCTGTGGCCTGTATCCGGACCTCGCCTGTTTTCGGTCAATATCATCCATTGTGTGGACAACACTGATTTCGTTTTTCTATTTATCAGTGATGGACAAAGGGGCTATATTCATTTTTTGACTGCTATGCGAAAAACCACTGAATTGTATCCTTTGAAAAGGTGCATTTATGGAATGCGAATTCTATTTCAGTACTACTATAAACACCTGTGTTCAAGTTTTTGTATGAACAAATGTTTTGTATTTCTCATGAGTATAAGACCAGCAGTGGAGTTGCCAGGTCATGCGGTAGCCCTGTGAGTAAGTGTTTGAGGAAACACCATAGGCTTTTCCTTCTCTTATTTGCGCAAGCAACATGGGAAGGTCCCATTTCTCTCATTGCCAACACTTGTATTTGCTTTTTCAATTATAGCCACACTAATGGATGTGAAGTGCTACCTCAGTGGTTTTGATGGGCATTTCCCTATTAACCAATAATTTTAAACATGTTTTCATGTATTTATTGCCAATTTGTGCATCTTCTTTAGAGCAGTATCTATACAAATCCAATTTTCACTTTGAAAATTTGTTAGACATTTTATTGTTGATTTGCTAGTGGATAACAGACCTTATCAGATACATGAATTGCAGATAATTTATTCAGCTCTGTGTGGTGTTTTATGCCTTTCATGATGGTGTCCTTTGAAACACAAAAGATTTTAAGTTTGGCGGGTCCTGTTTATTTTTCCTTTGGTTGCTTGTACTTTTGGTGACACATCTAAGAATTCATCACCAAATTCAAGAAAATTAAACTGTATACCTTTTTTTCTGAGATTCATGTAGTTCAGCTCTTTTACGTTCTTTTGTTTTATGTTTTATCAAAGCCTTTGATCTATTTTTAATTATCATTATTTTATTATTATGTCCATTTGCTATTATTATTATTTTGAAACAGAGTTTCGCCATGTCACCCAGGCTGGAGTGCAATGGTGCAATCCCGGCTCACTGAAACCTCTGCCTTCCAGGTTCAGGCAATTCTCCTGCCTCAGCCTCCTGAGTAGCTGGGATCACAGGCATGTGCCAATATGCCTGGCTAATTTTTGTAGTTTTAGTAGAGATGGGGTTTCACCATGTTGGCCAGGCTGGTCTCAGACTCCTGACCTCAAGTTGATCTACCCACCTCGGCTTCTCAAAGTGCTGGGATTATAGTCATGAGCAACCACGCCTGGCCTTTTAAATTAACTTTTGTGTATGATGTGAGTTAGAGGTTCAACTTCATTCTTTGTGGATGCTGATTGTCCTGGCACCATTTGTTGAAAAGAATCTTGTCTTTGGCCTTGCCATCCTTTTTAAAAATGACATAAATGTGAGGGTTTACTTCCAGACTCTCAATTCTGTTCCACTGATGTATACATCCATTCTTTCACCAGTACTGCACAGGTTGATTATAGTCTGAGTCCTTGTTCTTGTTTAAGATTATTTTCTCTATATTAGATTCTATTCCTTTATGAGTTTTAGGGTCACCTTGTCAGTTTCAAGGCAGCTGAAATCCTTATAGGAATTTGCTGAATCTGTCAATGAATTAGGAGAGCACAACATCTTAATAGCATTAGGTGTAAATATTCTGGTCTATGAACATATGTCTTTCCATTTTTTAGATCTTTTACAATTTCTTTCAATGATGTTTTTTAGTTCTCAATGTACAAGTTTTATACTTCTTTTGATGTATTCATTTCTATATATTTATTTGTTTATTTATTTATTTATTTGAGATGGAGTCTTGCTCTGTTGCCCAGGCTAAAGTGCTGTGGCATGAACTTCTGCCTCCCAGGTTCACGCGATTTTCCTGCCTCAGTCTCCCAAGTAGCTGGCCAGGCTGGTCTCAAACTCCTGACCTCAAGTGAACCGCCCACCTCAGCCTCCCAAAGTGCTGGAATTAGTGCCTAGCCTCTAAGTATTTATTTCTGATGCTATTGCAAAAGGAATTGTTTTCTTAATTCCAAGTTCAGATTGTTTATGCAAGCTCATAGAAATACAGTTGATTTGTTTATCAAGCCTCGAAGCTTTGTAAAGGTTTATTATTATTGTTTTTTAATATAGGAATATGCTCAAAAAAACTTGAACTCTTCTCTTATGTACCGGTGGAAGAATAAACTCACGTCAACTTTCTGGAAAGCAAGTTGGCAAGTTATCAAGATCCTTGGTCAGGCACAGCAGCTCATGCCTGTAATCCCAGCACTTTGGGAGGCTGAGGCAGGCGGATCATGAGGTCAGGAGTTTGAGACCAGCCTGACCAACATGGTGAAACCCTGTGTGGTGGCACATGCCTGTAATCTCAGCTACTCAGGAGGCTGAAACAGGAGAATCGCTTGAACCCAGGAGGCGGAGGTTGCAGTGAACCAAGATCATGCCACTGCACTCCAGCCTGAGCGACAGAGTGAGGCTCCATCACAAAAAAAAAAAAAAAAATCTTAAAATGCATCGTATCCTTTGACACAGTAATTCTAGCCCAAGAATTTTTATTTTATTGTAAGTTGACAATTTATAATTGTATATATTTATGAGGTACAAAGTGATACTGTGATTTACAAATACAACGTGGGATAATGAAATCAAGCTAATTGATAAATCTACAACCTCAAATGCTTACCATTTTTGTGGCGAGAACAATTATCACCTATTGATTTTGTGTCCTGTAATATTGCTGAATTGCTCATTAGTCCAAATAGTTTTTCATTTATTTCTTGTGATTTTCTGCATACAGCGCCACGTCATTTGCAAATTGGGGCAGTTTTATTTCTTCCCTGCCCATTTGTATGCTATTGATTTATTTTAGAGACGGGGGTTTCACCATGTTGGTCAGGCTGGACTCAAACTCCTGACCTCGTGATCCACCCACCTTAGCCTCCCAAAGTGCTGGGATTCAAAGCAACCACGCCCAGCCTACTTTTTATTTTTTCATCTTGCCTAATAGTTGTAGCTGGAATCCTCATTACAGTACTGGATCAAAAGTGGTGGGAGTGGACATCCTTATCTTCTTTTAATATCGGGGAAATTTCTCAGTCTTTTACCATTAAGTAGTGGTGGGCTTTTCATAGCTGTCCTTTATAAGGTTGAGGAAGTTACCTTCTATTCCTAGTTTGTCAACTATTTTTATTATGATAGGGTGTTGCATTTTGCCAAATCATTTTTTAGTCTATTGAGATAATTATGCTTCTTTTTTTTCCTGGCTGCTTGGAGTTTATTTTCCACTTGGTGCCAGGTACACAGTTCCAGGTATCAGGAAAGCTCACAAGTGCTATGGCCATGGGGAGAGGGGCTTTGTCACTCCTTTTTGGGGTTTGCTGTGTTAATGGAAAGTCTGCTTGCTGCATCCGCCTAGTCTACAGGGTGAGGAGTGGGGAGGGGACCGGGGAGGGGGTCTGGTGGCCTGGCGCCTCCGCAGACCTAGGGCTGGTGGTGGCGGCTCAGATCAGGATGGGGGTCCAGTGCTGGCTGTGCCGGACTGGCCACCGGGCTACTTCCTGAGATGTCCCGAGCCAGGCCCCAGATGGTCATGTTGCTGGAGGCCTGGGGGGTTCCGGGTGCTCTGCTGGCCTCAACACCATGGCTATGAACAGCAGGGTGGACTTCCCGAAAAAAGAAGCTAGCCCACCAGACTGGGGTCAGCCTTGGGGAGACCCGGGGGGTGGGGGATGGCTTCCCCAGGGAGCCTGGTACTGCCACGGGAGCTGTTGCTGGAACTGGAACCCAGGCGGCCTGGGCGGCCACCCTTCTCAAGCCTTGGCATATGATCACAGGTGGTGAGGACAGGGGCGCTGGGCTACAGAGCAGATCTGCAGAAGGGACCTCAGGAGGCCACTCCTCGACCAAGATGTGGGGGCACGAGAGATGATTACGCATTTGACCCTGCTTTATTAATATGGTGTATTAACATTGACTAATACGAATTTTTGGAACCAGCCTTGCACTGCTAAAATTATCCCATTTGGTCATCATGTATTATCATTCTCTTTTCTTTCTTTTTCTTTTTTTGAGACAGACTCTCACTCTGTCCCCCAGGCTGGAGTGTGGTTGTGTGATCATAGCTCACTGCAGCCTTGACCTCCCCAGACTCAGGTGATCTTCCCACCTCAGCCTCCCAGGTAGCTGGGACTACAGCAGTATGCCACCACACCCAATTGTTTTTTGTATTTTTTGTAGAGATGAGGTTTCACCACATTTTTGTATTTTTTGTAGAGATGAGGTTTCACCACATTACCCAGGCTGGTCTTGAACTCCTGGACTCAAGTGATTTGCCTGCCTTGGCCTCCCAAAGTGCTGGATTACAGGCAGGAGCCACCGCGCCCGGCTGGTGTATCACCCTTTTTGTTGTCATTGCTGCATTCAGTGTGCAAGCATTTGTTGAGGACTTTGTGCGTCTGTGTTCATTAAAGATATTGGCCTGCTGTGTTCTTTTCTTGCAATGTTTTTGGCTGGTTTTGATATCAAGGTATTAACCTTATAGAATGGGTGGTTGGGAAGTGACACCTCCTCTCCCATGTTTTAGAAGTTTGTGAAAGACTTAATTCTGTTGTAAACTTGTAGTAGAATTCACCAGTGAATCAATCATGCCCCGATCTTTTCTTTATGGGGATTCTGGCCTTTAAAAAATAAATTAATAGCTCAATCTATACCTTGGTATAGGTATACTCAGATTTTCTTTATCTTTTTAAGTTTTGTAGGTTTGTGCCTTTCTAGATATTTCTTCATTTCATCTAGTTTACATAGTTTGTTAGCATACAATTGTTCATGGTATTATAATATTTTTATATTTTTGTAGGGTTGGTATTAATTTGAGTCTTCTTTTTCTAGGTCCAGCTAGCTAAAAGTTTGTCAATTTTTCTGATATTTTCAAGGAAATTTTGGTTATTTATTATGTTTCTTTTCTCCATTTTATTTATTTTCATTATAATCTCTATTTATTCCTTCATTCTGCTTGCTTTGGTTTAGTTTGGGCTTTTTTTTTTTTTTTTTTTTTTTTTTTTTTTCAGTTTCTTAGGTGGAAGATTAAGTTACTGATTTGAGGTATTTCATGTGTTCTAATATAGGCATTTCCTATATTAAATATATTTAATATAGGATATAAATTTCCCTAGATGCACAGCTTTTGCTGTATCCCGAAAGTTTTGGTATTTTGTGTTATTGTATCCATCTATCTAGAGTATTTTATTATGGCCAGGTGTGGTGGCTCACACCTGTAATGCCTGCACTTTGGGAGGCTGAAGTGGGCAGATCATCTGAGGTCAGGTGTTCAAGACCAGCCTGGCCAAGATGGTGAAACCCCATCTCTACTAAAAACACAAAAATTAGCCAAGTGTGGTGGCAGATGCCTGTACTCCCATCTAATTGGGAGGCTGAGGCAGGAGAATCTATTGAACTTGAGAGGTGGAGGTTGCAGTGAGCTGAGATCATGCCATTGCACTCTAGCCTAGGTGACAGTGTGAGATTCCATCTCAAAAAATAAAAAAATAAAAAATAAAAATAAAGTATTTTATTAATTCCTATTGTGGTGTCTTTGACCCATAAGCTATATGGATGTGGTATTGCTTGATTAATCTATATTTGTGAATTTCCTAAATTTTTGCCTATTTTTGATTTTATTACATTACGGCCCAAGAGCATAACTTGCATGATTTTAATCACTTTAAATTTATGGAGATTTGTTTTTTTGCCTATCATATGGTCTATTTTGGGGAGTGTCTGATGTGTCTTGAGAAGAATGTGTGTCTTGCTATTGCTGAGTGGAGCAATCTGTAGATGCCCGTTAGGTTTCTCAGAGAGTATTGTTTAAGTCTTCTACTTCCTTGTCAAACTTTTCTGTCTCATTGTTTATCCATTATTTAAGATTAGGTATGGAAGTCTCCAAATATTATTGTTGAAGTGTCTATTTCACCTTTCCATTCTGTCAGTTTTCCTTCATGTATTTTGAAGCTCTCTTGTTAAGCACAAAATTCTTTATAATTTATACATTTATAATCGCATAGCAATTTTGCAATTATTATATCCTTGAAGGATGGGCCCTTTGGTCCTTATAAAATGTTCTTCTTCATCTCTAGGAATAATTTGTTCTAAGTCTATTTGACCCAATATTAATAAGGCGATTCTGGCTCTGTTTCGGTCAATACTTGCTTGATGCATTTCTTCCTGTTCTATTGCTTTGATCATCTTTGTGTCTTGAATTTAAAGTTTGACTCTTGCATACAGGGAGATCACTTTTTTTATCTGTTCTACTGCTCTCTGCCACTTAACCGACATGTATAATCAAAGTCCATTTGATTTAACTACTAATTAGAGTTTAGTAAAATACTAACAGGATCAAATATTCTATTTTGCTATTTTTCTATATGTGGTGTGTCTTTTGCTTTTGGCCTTCCTCCATTACCACCTTGTTTTGTGTTAGGTATTTCTTTCCTATTGTGCTGATTCAATCCCTGTGCTGTTTCTTTTGTCACATATATTTTTGAAATTTTTTTGTTTTAATGGTTGCCCTGGAGACTACAATTAACATCTTAACTTGTAACATTTAAATATGATTAATAATTTCAATAGTATATAAACATTTTTCTCCCATACATGGTCCATGCCCCACTCTGTATGTTATTTATTTTCATACAAATTACATCTTTATACATTGTGTGCTGAAGAACATAAATTTATATTTGCTTTATGTAGTCGTCCTTCAAAACAGATACATGAAAACCACATTATTGATACACTTTTACTACATACATTTTATTTATTTATTTACTTACTTAGTTACTGAGACAGGGTCTCACTCTGTCGCCCAGGCTGGAGTACAGTGGTGTGATCTCAGTTCACTGCAACCTCTGCCTTCTGGGCCCAAGCTATCCTTTCATCTCAGCTTCCTCAAGTAGCTGGGACTACAGGCATACACCACCACACCTAATTTTGTATTTTTTATACAGATGGGGTTTTGCCATGTTGCCAAGGCTGGTCACAAACTCCTGAGCTCAAGTACTCCACCCACCTTAGCCTCCCAAAGTGCTGGGATTACAGGTGTGAGCCACCACATCCAGCTCATCCATTTTATTTATTTAGACATACTGTCTCATTTTTACTTATGTAACTTTTGTGCTCTTTATTTCTTCCTGTGGATTTGAATTACTCTCTCATCTTCATTTCAGCTGGAAGGACTCTGTTTAATGTTTCTGGTGGGGCTGGTCTGATAGCAATGAATTCTCTCAAACGTTGTCTATCTGGGAATGCTTTCACATCTCCATTTTTTGAAGGACACCTCTGCTAGATAAAAAATTCTTGGCTCACATTTATTTTTCCTTTCAGAACTTTGGATATGTCATCCCACTGCCTTCTGGCCTCCAGGGAGTCTTTCTTTCAGCTTTATTGTAGTATAACTAACAAAAAGCATTGTTTACATTCAAAATGTATAGTGTGATGATTTGATACACATATGCATTGTGAGATGATTGCCACAACCAAGTCAATGAAGATATTCATCACAGGCTGGGTGCGGTGGCTCACGCCTATAATCCCAGCACTTTGAGAGGCTGAGGTGGGTGGATCACGAGGTCAAGAGATCAAGACCATCCTGGTCAACAAGGTGAAATCCCATCTCTACTAAAAATACAAAAATTAGCTGGGCATGATGGTGTGCACCTATAGTCCCAGCTCCTCAGGAGGCTGAGGCAGGAGAATTGCTTGAACCCAGAAGGCGGAGGTTGCAGTGAGCCAAGATCATGCCATTGCACTCCAGTCTGGGTACCAACAGTGAAACTCCATCTCAAAAAAATAAAATGATATTCGTCACATTACATAGTTACTTTTTAAAAATGAGAACCCTTAAGACCTGCTCTGTTAGCAAATTTCAAGTATACAATACAGTACAATTAACTACAGTTACCACTCTATACATTAGATTCTTAGAATTTATCTTAAACTGAAAGTTTGTAGTTGTTAATCTTACCAATGATTCTTTACAATTGACAATTTATTTCTTGCTTGCTGCTCTCATGATTATCTCTTTGCCTTTGTTTTTTGATTAACTTATTAAGATGTGAGTTTTTGCTACTTGGAGTGTATTAAATTTCTTGCATATTTTGATTAATGTTTTTCATAAAATTGGAGAAGTTTTTGGCTATTATGGCTTCATATATTCTTGCACCCCCTTTCTCTCACTCATTTCCTTCTGGGGCTCTTTTTATGTATATGTCGGTATCGATTCATAGCATTCCATAGTTCTCTGAGGCTCTTTCCTTTTTTTTCTTTAACATCAGGCTAGATAATCTCAGTTGACCAATCTACAAATTCACCGAATCTTTCTACCTGCTGAAATTTGCTGTTCAGCACTGCTGTGGGTTGAATCATGTTCTCCAAAATGTTTGTTCAAAGCCCTCTTCCTTAGAACCTGTAAATGTGGCTTTATTTGGAAATATGGTATTTGCAGATGTAATTAGGGTGGGCCCTAATCCAGTTACTGTTTCTCTCATAAGGGAGATTTGAACACAGGCACAGAGTAAAGAAAGCCATGTGATGACACAGGCAGAGATTGGAGTAGTGCAGCCACAAGCCAAGGAAAGCCCAAGATTTCCAGCGACCACCAGAAGCTAGAAAGAAGCAAAGAAGGATAATTCCCCAGAGCCTTCAAGTAGAGCACAGCTCAGCTGATGCTTTAACTTTGGACTTCCATCCTCCAGCAATGCAAGCAAATAACTTTCTGCTGTTTTAAGCCACCGAGATGATTTGTTTTGGCAACCCTAGGAAACAAATATGAACCCCTCGAGTAAATTTTTAGTTGGTGTTTTACTTTTCAATTTCAGAAATTCTATTTAGTTCTCTTTTATGATTTATAACTTTATTACTATTTTCTATTTTGTGAAACATAATTGTCACCCTATCTTTTAGTGCTTCATGTATAGTTTTATTTAATTCTTTGAATACATTGAAAATACCTCATATAATCTTTGTCTAGTAAATCCGATGCCTGGACTTCCTCAGGGATGGTATCTATTGGTTGCTTTTTTTTCTCTAGTGTACCAATCAGCTTGTGTTGAAGAGGCCCAAGAGCACCACAGGTTCAGTGATTCTCTAGGATAAACCACTGGACTCAGTATATAGTTATACACCTGACTGTGATTTCTTACAGTGAAAGCATGCCTAGCAAAATAAACAAACAAACAAACAAACAAAGGTGCATGGGGCAAAGTTCAGAGGAAACCAGGCACAGGCTTCCAAGAATCCTCTCCAAACACATCACACAGGCACAAAACATTTCTCCAACGAGTTGTGACAACATGTATGAAACATTGTCTGCCAGGGAGACTCACTAGAGACTAAGCGCCCACGGTTTTTATGGGGACTGGTTATCCTCTTCCTAGCCTATACCCAAATTCCAGTATCCCAGGAAGAGAATATCTTTGGCACAAACCATAGTGTTTGTAAGAGCAGTTTAGGCACAGTGAGTTTCTCTTATCAGAGAGTGGGACCCTTGTGCATTTTCTAGATACCCAGGAATGTGTCAGAACTTTTCACAAGTCATATGGTCATCTCACTTGCCAGCTTTCCCTTTAAGCTTTTAAATCTATTGTTTGCCTCAACTGTAATCCACCACTTCAAGCAGCCACAAAGTTAAACAATTGCCTCTCATGGTTTTTGACAGTTGTGCCAGAGAAAAGGCTTTTTTGTCTCAGACAAACTTCAAGTCAGGTCAAATACAGTCTGGTGGGGTCTTACAGAGATTTCAAATATGACTTCAGCCAGGCGCAGTGGCTCATGACTGTAATACCAGCACTTTGGGAGGCCAAGGCAGGTGGATCACTTGAGGTCAGCAGTTTGAA